TTTAAGTTTCAGACATGCTTAAAACTTAACTAGATCTTGGTTTTAAGTTAAGACATGCTTAAAACTTTACTCGATCTTGGTTTTAAGTTTCAGACATGCTTAAAACTTTACTGGATCTTGGTTTTAAGTTTCGGACATGCCTATAACTTTACTGGATCTTGGTTTTAAGTTTCGGACATGCTTAAAACTTAACTGGATCTTGGTTTTAAGTTTCAGACATGCTTAAAACTTTACTGGATCTTGGTTTTAAGTTTAGACATGCTTAAAGCTTAACTGGATCTTGGTTTTAAGTTTCGGACATGCCTATAACTTTACTGGATCTTGGTTTTAAGTTTCAGACATGCTTAAAACTTTACTGGATCTTGGTTAACCTATAAACCTACTGTAATCTATAAACAGTTGAACGAAACGGAGTGGAGTTCAACATACCTGTAACCTATAAATCTACTGTAATCTATAAACAGTTGAATGAAACGGAGTGAAACGGAGTGGAGTTCAACACACCTGGAACCTATAAATCTACTGTAATCTATAAACAGTTGAACGAAACGGAGTGAAACGGAGTGGAGTTCAACACACCTATAACCTATAAACCTACTGTAATTCATAAACAGTTGAACGAAACGGAGTGAAACGGAGTGGAGTTCAACACACCTGTAACCTTTAAACCTACTGTAATCTATAAACAGTTGAACGAAACGGAGTGAAACGGAGTGGAGTTCAACACACCTGTAACCTATAAATCTAAACTAGGTTGAGCGAAGCTCACAAATTTTTACGTCCTGAACGGAGCGAAGCGAAGTGAAGGCGTGAAAATTTTACTCAATTTAAAAAAATCCAGTACGATCTGTAACCTATAAACCTTCTGTAATCTGTAAACAGTTGAACGAAACGGAGTGAAACGGAGTGGAGTTCAACACACCTGTAACCTATAAATCTAAACTAGGTTGAGCGAAGCTCACAAATTTTTACGTCCTGAACGGAGCGAAGCGAAGTGAAGGCGTGAAAATTTTACCTAATTTAAAAAAATCCAGTACGATCTGTAACCTATAAACCTTCTGTAATCTATAAACAGTTGAACGAAACGGAGTGAAACGGAGTGGAGTTCAACACACCTGTAACCTATAAACCTACTGTAATCTATAAACAGTTGAACGAAACGGAGTGAAACGGAGTGGAGTTCAACACACCTGTAACCTATAAATCTAAACTAGGTTGAGCGAAGCTCACAAATTTTTACGTCCTGAACGGAGCGAAGCGAAGTGAAGGCGTGAAAATTTTACCCAATTTAAAAAAATCCAGTACGATCTGTAACCTATAAACCTTCTGTAATCTATAAACAGTTGAACGAAACGGAGTGAAACGGAGTGGAGTTCAACACACCTGTAACCTATAAACCTACTGTAATCTATAAACAGTTGAACGAAACGGAGTGAAACGGAGTGGAGTTCAACACACCTGTAACCTATAAATCTAAACTAGGTTGAGCGAAGCTCACAAATTTTTACGTCCTGAACGGAGCGAAGCGAAGTGAAGGCGTGAAAATTTTACCCAATTTAAAAAAATCCAGTACGATCTGTAACCTATAAACCTACTGTAATCCATAAACAGTTGAACGAAACGGAGTGAAACGGAGTGGAGTTCAACACACCTGTAACCTATAAACCTACTGTAATCTATAAACAGTTGAACGAAACGGAGTGAAACGGAGTGGAGTTCAACACACCTGTAACCTTTAAACCTACTGTAATCTATAAACAGTTGAACGAAACGGAGTGAAACGGAGTGGAGTTCAACACACCTGGAACCTATAAATCTACTGTAATCTATAAACAGTTGAACGAAACGGAGTGAAACGGAGTGGAGTTCAACACACCTATAACCTATAAACCTACTGTAATTCATAAACAGTTGAACGAAACGGAGTGAAACGGAGTGGAGTTCAACACACCTGTAACCTTTAAACCTACTGTAATCTATAAACAGTTGAACGAAACGGAGTGAAACGGAGTGGAGTTCAACACACCTGTAACCTATAAATCTAAACTAGGTTGAGCGAAGCTCACAAATTTTTACGTCCTGAACGGAGCGAAGCGAAGTGAAGGCGTGAAAATTTTACTCAATTTAAAAAAATCCAGTACGATCTGTAACCTATAAACCTTCTGTAATCTGTAAACAGTTGAACGAAACGGAGTGAAACGGAGTGGAGTTCAACACACCTGTAACCTATAAATCTAAACTAGGTTGAGCGAAGCTCACAAATTTTTACGTCCTGAACGGAGCGAAGCGAAGTGAAGGCGTGAAAATTTTACCCAATTTAAAGAAATCCAGTACGATCTGTAACCTATAAACCTACTGTAATCTATAAACAGTTGAACGAAACGGAGTGGAGTTCAACACACCTGTAACCTATAAACCTACTGTAATCTATAAACAGTTGAACGAAACGGAGTGAAACGGAGTGGAGTTCAACACACCTGTAACCTATAAAACTACTGTAATCTATAAACAGTTGAACGAAACGGAGTGAAACGGAGTGAAGTTCAACACACCTGTAACCTATAAACCTACTGTAATCCATAAACAGTTGAACGAAACGTAGTGAAACGGAGTGGAGTTCAACACGCCTGTAACCTATAAACCTACTGTAATCTATAAACAGTTGAACGAAACGGAGTGAAACGGAGTGGAGTTCAACACACCTGTAACCTATAAACCTACTGTAATCTATAAACAGTTGAACGAAACGGAGTGAAACGGAGTGAAGTTCAACACACCTGTAACCTATAAACCTACTGTAATCTATAAACAGTTGAACGAAACGGAGTGAAACGGAGTGAAGTTCAACACACCTGTAACCTATAAACCTACTGTAATCTATAAACAGTTGAACGAAACGGAGTGAAACGGAGTGGAGTTCAACACACCTGTAACCTATAAACCTACTGTAATCTATAAACAGTTGAACGAAACGGAGTGAAACGGAGTGGAGTTCAACACACCTGTAACCTATAAACCTACTGTAATCTATAAACAGTTGAACGAAACGGAGTGGAGTTCAACACACCTGTAACTTATAAATCTAAACTAGGTTGAGCGAAGCTCACAAATTTTTACGTCCTGAACGGAGCGAAGCGAAGTGAAGGCGTGAAAATTTTACCCAATTTAAAAAAATCCAGTACGATCTGTAACCTATAAATCTTCTGTAATCTATAAACAGTTGAACGAAACGGAGTGAAACGGAGTGAAGTTCAACACACCTGTAACCTATAAACCTACTGTAATCCATAAACAGTTGAACGAAACGTAGTGAAACGGAGTGGAGTTCAACACACCTGTAACCTATAAACCTACTGTAATCTATAAACAGTTGAACGAAACGGAGTGAAACGGAGTGGAGTTCAACACACCTGGAACCTATAAATCTACTGTAATCTATAAACAGTTGAACGAAACGGAGTGAAACGGAGTGGTCTTCTATGACCTTAAAAGTATTTAAAAATAAATATTGATATTGAAGTTCAACACACCTGTAATTTTTAAACCTACTGTCATCTATAAGATCTGAGTTCAACACACCTGTTGTTTTATTTTTAATTTTTAATGAAACACGTCTTAATGTTTTTGTTCGTGTTTTTCAACTGATTTTTATTTTCTCAGACTACTGAGATCATTATTTTACACCTGTAACCTATAAACCTTCTGTAATCTATAAACAGTTGAACGAAACGGAGCACACAAGTTGCAAAACTTTTCAAGACTGTAACCTATGTTGAAGTCTGATCTACATAAGAGACTGACTGCGGAGCATTAATTTGAGTGATTTTTCAATTTTATAATCTATCGTTTACTAAGTGTGAAAGTTAATGGCTTTCTACATAAGTCGTATTTTTCATATTTATACTTTTAAAAATTGGCAAATTTTTGAATCATGATTTTCGTTATAAAACGTGTTCCTAATGCGTGGTATACTTTGTTGATAATGCAGCAAAATGTTGATATTAAGTCTTACATTTTATTGAGAGAAGATTTTTCAAGATTTTCTGAACAATACATGGAGAGTTCTATAGGATTGTGTGAATATTCCCATGAAGCGTGATCGGCTTCATTACTAGTTTAATTTTCAAAATGGCGGTCAAGTAAAAATGCTTTTTGATGATTTTAGATTATAAAGTACATTAATTTCTTGATTAATTTATTGTATTATATTCCATTTTACATAAGCTTTCGATTAATATATAATATGTGAACTTTTATGCAGATTAGAGGCAAACATTTAACGAAAAACCTTTTGCACTTTGAAAATTTTTCCTGAGAATTTTAAGCTTATCTCAAAATTTTGTTAAATATCAATATTATATGAATCAAATTTGTCTTTTCATCAAGTATTTTGATTATTAAATCATTTACATTAGGTTAATTAAAAATTGAATGAGGGATTTTTGAAAAATAAGTAAAAATGTATCGTGGTTGATCAAAAATTTTGTATGAAAAATTTATTTCACGAAAAATTCTTTTAAATCATTGAAATCTTTAATAGATTAGTCTTAAACCATTTTATTGTTGATAATCAGAACCATAAGAATCATATTTAATAAATTGTTTCACTATTAATTAACTTTTAAAATTTTATTTTTTTTTCATACAAAATTTTTGATCAACCACGATACATTTTTACTTATTTTTCAAAAATCCCTCATTCAATTTTTAATTAACTTAATGTAAATGATTTAATAATCAAAATACTTGATGAAAAGACAAATTTGATTCATATAATATTGATATTTAACAAAATTTTGAGATAAACTTAAAATTCTCAGGAAAAATTTTCAAATTGCAAAAGGTTTTTCGTTAAATGTTTGCCTCTAATCTGCATAAAAGTTCACATATTATATATTAATCGAAAGCTTATGTAAAATGGAATATAATACAATAAATTAATCAAGAAATTAATGTACTTTATAATCTAAAATCATCAAAAAGCATTTTTACTTGACCGCCATTTTGAAAATTAAATTGTAGCTTAATTAAGCATTTTCATTCTGATATTAAGTATAATTAAGTATCATTGCATGTTATGTTACAGCTTAGAATCAAAAAACATTGGTTAAACTTGTTAATTTGATCAAAATTTAATAATTTTCAGAGCTCGGCTAAACGAATGAGTAATGTTGTTGTTGTAATTTTCAAAAATTTTAAAAAATTTAATTAACTACACAACTAGCTGTAAGTTGTTATTGTTTTTTATAACAGACTAGTTGTTAGTAATAAACACAAAAAACAACTATTTTGGGAAAAGGGGTTAAGAAAGGAAAAAGTGCAAAAAATTGAACTCGGCTAAACGAAAGAGTAGCACCTTAATAGATCCTGACTTAATGCAACAATTACGCATTTATACTAGTATTAAAAACCTAGTCCAAAAATGTATGAATGAGAATTCAATAGACCTTAAAAATCCGAGTTAATTTATTTATGGACGTCGTTTTTGAATGACTGCTTATTTCTCTTTTTGAAAAATTTGCATAAATTAACCGATCAGACAGTCTAGCTTTGTTTTATATTTCTTACACTGTCATCAAAGTTTTAAGATGATTTTCATTTTCGTTCCCCAATTTTAATCAATCTCAACTGTAAATCAGCATAAATCTTATATAAACTACTTAATAATCTTACCTCATAACTTCAAGAAATTATCGCAACTTTCATTTCCTCAAAAAAAAAAAAGAATGAAATGCCTGTTTATCTTTGTTAAAAGATCATAAAACATGCATGTCACAACATAGTGCGAAACTCTTCTTCTATATCGCACGACAAAATAAATTCGGTGAGCGGAAGTCATAAAAAAAGAAATGTTTATTGACTGGTGATGACAACTTTTTCTCATGTATGGTGTTGGAGATATTTTGATAACTTTTTAGCATTCTTTTTGAATGATTTGCACAAATTTGGGTCTAATGGTGAATAAATTAATGAAGATTCTCTAGAAAACTTTGATAGGCATTAGTCTTAACTTGTCCCACTTCTTAAAAAGCAACTAAACTTAATCGTAATTATTTTATTCCACTCTTTTCAACATTTTAGGTCTAGAAGCTGTAATTGCTGATCTAAAAAGCGGTAAGGTGACATTGAGAAGACGACAGAAAGTCACAATTCCAACATCGCCAAAAGACGAATACAGCAATATTTATAATTTACTAGAAAAGAATCAAAATCAAAACCGCATGAGCAAGAAGATGATTGAGAATGAGCTGTCCACAGTTTTTAAGAAATTTAATCTTAATTTATGAAATTAACTTAGAATCAAGGAGTTGGGGATATGAGTGGGTCGATGGTTATGATAGAATTGTTTATAGCAAAATATTGACGATTTAAAAAATATTTCGAGTTGTAAATTGATTAAATCTATCGAATATTGAATTAGTTCTCGGATTTAGAATGGAAAAAAAACCTTAGGACTTACTATTGAGATAATCCAATTATAGAAAAGATATACTCAAGAAATAGATTTCTTGACTATCAACTACGATTGAACCAATAAATTAATCAAAAATTTAAAATTGACATAAAATCAACAATAAAGCGAATAAAAGCCAGAAAACTCTGCAAAATGATGACAAATACTTTCTCTAAAACACAAAGTTGTTGAATAACGACACGTCCAAATATCATGACATTCATCATAATCAAAGATCATTCAATTCCTGACCATATCACATTACTTAATTTATTTTGTATCAAAATTTAAAGTTTATAGATTTTTTTTAAATAAAATTTAAATTTTATTTTATACTTTCTCACCATAAAATTTGTATTTTTGTTTTATTTTCTACATAAAATTAAAGTTTATTTACTGAATTTGCAAATTTGTAAATTTGTAAATACATCGATTATCTCCATTCTGCAAAATAAATTGACTTTGGTTTATTTGAAAATTCTCTCAGATTGTTCATCTAAATTGCAAAAAATGGGATTATTTGTCTTGATTAGAAAGAAATGCATGGGAGCATTAAGTTAAGGCACTAATTTTCATGATATATATATCTTGTTCTTCTACATATCTCCTTGATTTTGATTTTTAAAAATACGAGTTTTGATTTTTTTTTTCAAATTGGGAAATTTACATTTTTAGAGCATTATTGTATAGATTGTAAAGTAAGTAGCTCTTTTTCAGTTTGTACACTATCGACTACAATTTTTGGAGGTTCCTTAATTTGCTGTTCTGTGTTGGAACCTCAATAAGAATCTAATAAAATCTCTCATTCCAAGACTTAAGGAGTTATCCACAAATGACGAAAAAGATTTAGTAACAGCATAAGGTGGGAGGGGTCTCAAAAATCCATAATAATTATGGACGTCATTAATGAACAACCCCTGTATTATATAAAGCTATATATAATAGCTATCTTTTATAAAATATTAATAATATATGTAAATATAAAGCTCAACATTACAATACATTACACATTCGTTTGTCCTATTCATTTTTCCTACATAAATCATGTCAAATTTTGGTATACATACGATAATAATAATATTTATATAATTAATTAATTAATTTAAAATTTGCTTTGGATAATTACGATAACGAAAGATTGGAAGAGATCGTGCGCAAAAATATGTTAAAATGAATTTAAATAATTATTTAATTTTTAAGATCACAGTGATGTGAAAGGAAGTAAAATCTATCGATTCCAACTGTCTTTATGGTGACATCGGAGATTTAGAATTTCTCGATGGTTTTGGAGGTGGAATCGGGGGTGATTTCTTGCTTAATCTTGCTTCCATTTCACTTATCACTTCCCTATTTCTAATTTCCAAAACCTCATAATGACTACTGTTGTTACTGTTCTCATGTATGGTAAAGTCATGATTTGGAAGTGCGGGTAGTGGTCGATTCTCAAAGTAATCTTCTGAGCCTCCTGATACTCTCATTGCTACTGAGTATTGTGATTCATCTGTTAATGATAAATGTCCAATATCTGAATCACGATGCTTTAGTGGAAGTGGTGGCGGTGCTAAATCCTCTTCGGATGTTTGTGAATCTGTAGTAACTGTAAAGACATTATTGTATTAATTAACTTCTTCAATTAAAAGCTTATATCTTACTTATTGAATTTCTGCTGTTGCTACTTTCGCCCGAAACTGATACTGTATCGACTTTTATAAGTCCAGTTCCATTACTACTTGTGGTTATGATGCTTTGTGTTCGCGACAATCGCTTTTCTTTTTCAGCTTCGGATCTCAAAGGCCTCTGTGGTGTCAGCTATGACATAGAAAAATAATAATTGGATTAAAATTTTGCGAATTTGCTAATTAACCCAATCTCACCTCCTCAGTCAATTCAAAAACTGGTGTGCTTGAATTTGATACAATTGGTGTTGTTGTTGTTGTTGTTAATGGGAATGCTTCCATTTTCTCTTTCTCAACAGGTGTTTGAGCAATAGGACTTAATATACTTGTTATATTTGAGACAGCCGTGTAAAATTGACTATTTGATAAGTTTAGCGTTTCTCTATCCATCTGTAAGTTATTTCATAAGTTAAGTGTTAAGTAAAGGATTGTCACACAAAATAGAAAACGACATTTAGAGGTTCCAACTGGGATTCATAATTTATGGAAGAGGAAGAACATGTGAGAGCCTAAATTGCATCAAGTGAATGTGATTTGTATTTATAATGTGCTTGGCTTGTGTAATCATACAAAAGTTGTCGAATTGGATAGAACTAAATAGATCTAGTAAATTGCGATTCGTAGATATTTTGTTGATCCGTAGAATAAAATAAATCTTTAATTTTGATGGATTAACAACAGTTGCATTAAGTTTTTATACAGTATGTGAGTGATTCATACTTCCAGTTGGATGTAAATACATCGTAGGATTTCAATGAATCATTTGTTTTGTGGCAAATTCTTACTAATTATTGGATTTCAAGCTTAGTCTTGAAATAATAAAATTCTAAGTAAAGCTGTGAATATTTTGTATGATTTCTGCAGTGCTTAGTGTATGTATAATTTGAAAGATCGCCATTCATATTGCATAAAATGCTAGATTTATTAACTCATGCCTGATTTCTGGTTGTTGACATGTTAATTTTACTTCCCAGTGAAAAATGCTCAAAGTCATTTGAAAGCTAAATGATGTTCAAGTAAACTCGGTATGGATTCCAAATAAAACGTTGTGTAGCTTGGGAATTAAATCTTCAAAACTTAAATTCAGTTGACTTAACAGTCAATTTAACAAAATCTTAGTATTTATAGCAATATTCAATTCATAAAAGCACTGACAATCAACTATCATGTTCTATTGTACCGCGGGGAGTATATTAGTTACCATACAGCATGATTGTCTTTTAACGATGAATTTCTTAGGAACCTCTAAAAGCAGCTTAGTCTCTTAAAATAGAATAGAATTAATTGCATCTACCTTTCGACTATTTTTCCTTTTCTGTGGCGTTTTGTCTTTAGCTTTTTGTATTTTCGGAGATGGACCCAATTGGGCGATGGTTTGTCTGTATATTCATTTTTATTCATTTGGCAAATTTTTACATTTTGGAGGTATTTGCAAGAATTATGTGTTGAATATTTTTTTAAAATATATTTTCAGAAATCACACGATGTTAAATGAAAAGAAAGAAAAAGAATTTTTTTTGGTATTAGTCAATAAAAGCGTTTTTTATGCCAAAAATCATGTCTTTGTCGTCATCATGCAAACATTTTTTTTTGGATTTGATTATAATCATTTGCTTTATAAAGTGATAGACTTATGATGTATTAGTGATAATGTATAATGAATTACTATGTTCAATTTTAAGGAAGGAAAAATTTTGTTAATTTAATTTAAGATGGAAAAAAGATCAAAATAGAGACTAATGAGAGGAAGAGAAGGTGAAATGAGAGAAATAGAAAACAGAGAGAATGACAGTTTAATGACGATGAATGATAAGGCTAAAAGGACTTTCCCTATACCTAGAAAATGATTGCGGTTGAAAGATGTTGATCTTATTTAGATTGAATGCTGTCGAAAACTGACGACCAGGATTTCTTGATATTCCGCTACTGCAATTAAAAATTCATAATAAATAATTAGACGTAATTTATTAAAACCATCAACTTACTCTGACGATCCCATGCTTGTTTCTGATAAACGATTGTCATTTCCAAATGGTGGCATTCCTTTCCTCAACACGACAATCGCATCTTTCTCAACTTTCAAATCTGTCGTTCTTTTCCCATACTCCGTCTCAATGTGAGCTTGCATTTTACCAAAGCACTCTTCCATTCGGTCATGTAAAGGAAGCATAACAGGTGTTACTTTTGTTTTATGGACTGCCAATGCGACTTCTAGAATTGGGATTTGTTCTGCTAGCAAGTTTTTCAAGTTCTCAACATATCGCGTGTCTTTTGGATTCATTTTCAGATAGTCATCGGTGAGGAACGCTTCCTCGTACTTTGCTGTTCCGCCTGTAAAGTTATGAAAATATTACTGTAAAGTCTCAGTTATTATGATTAAGTAAGGGATCGTTATTAGTTTTCAGAACCTTATGAAGTGGTTCATAGGAGAACAGGATGTCATAAGTGAATGACCCTAATATAAAATCAATTTATTGTTATGATAACTTGTCAGTTTGTGACTCAAAAAATAAATAAACTCAAATTTGAAGTAGATCAGGTCTAATCAAGTCTAGCTTATCTCTACTAAACCAATCAAAACAATAAAAATAAGCATTTAATCAACAAGCAATTACCATTAACAGCCGCATCAACAATCCCTTGAATTTTCATCGTTAACGGATTAAGTGTCAAGTTTCTATCATTTTGATGTTCAAAGACTAAATCATACAGTTGTTTATTATTAGTTTCTAGCATTTCAATTGCGCATTCAATCGGCGAAACCTGTAAGATGAGAATGATTATCATCAGATTATTATTTCAGAGCAAGCATGCAAAGGAATTAAATTACGTTATAAGTTCTAGATGTTGTCACAGGGAACCATTTAAGCATTCCCGGCAGTGGATATAAAGTTTTCATGACTGTTCTTTCAAGCCAAAGATTCCCAACATTATCTGATTCACTTGATGACATCCAATTCTTTGATGAATCACGGTATGGACGTGAAAATTTGAATTCATCAACACCATTTGATTTGTAGTATTTAATTATTGGTGCTGGAATGATTCTATTTGGCATATTTTCATGTGCCTTCAAAATGGCCTCATTACTGATAGGTTCAACTTTATTAATTTGTATATATTGCTTGTCACTGTTGATGATTTCATCACTAGGTTTTTCTAATGTCTGCATCAGTTCAGCTTTCGGATGCTGATTTAAAATTCTTGAGCAGAATGATGACAATTGCTCATACTTCTCACCACGATAAACGAAACTTTTGTTTCTTAAAAGTTCGGGAAATCCTAAGCCATAAAATGTCATACGGAAATATACTGCTTCATGTCGGATTTCTGATATGATTTTCTTATAGAAATCAGCCATTTTTGTGTGCAGATTACTCAACTGAATATAATCGAAAACTTCAAACTCATATTGCTGAGCTAGTTCCTTGCAAACTTCTAATGCACATTCCCACATCTTTCCATTATCGTAGAACTTAATGATCTCTGTATACAACTCTTCCTTTAATAATCTATGTGTCATACAGTGTGGGAACCTGCAACTTCTCAATAATGGTGGTAATTGGGTGTCATCCCACTGAAGTAAATTACTATGTAATTTCAGAGTAAATGCAGCTTCTGTATAGTTATCAAATTCCATATGAAGATCACATAACTTGTTGACATAACGGATATACATTTCCTCTCGATTGACTTTTAAATAGAATTGCAATAAACTCACGGTACAGGCCATGCGATTCTCTTTACTCTCATCATTTATCAGGAATCGATACTCTAATAATCTCTCCATTAGATTCGTTGCCATTCGAACGAATGTAACTCCATCATGCTGTAGTGCAACATGTTTCTGACATAAATCTGTCATAATATTATAGAATAAATCTTTATATTCATAATCACCGCGACCTCCTTCGACATAAATGTCGAGCTTTTCAATCATCTCTTTCTCAAACTCTCGGAAATTTCCACGAATATGTGACTGATTGCGCTTAGTATCACCATAGCCTTCCTGAATTAATCTCGATGAGAAATATTCGCATTGCATCATGTCGAAAAATATTGGAATCGTCTCTCTTCGAAGTTCTGTTTCACTGACCATTGACATTTCTAGCAATGGTCCAACCATTTGAGGTATAAAGAGCTGCTTTTGTTGTCCTAAATTATACCACATATTACAAATTTCGGTTGCTGTCTGACGACGAATATCGCAATATCGAGTCAATATCATTGACTTCTTATTATTTGTAAATTGATCCAATTGTAATGCGGGCTGTGTCAAAAATGCAATTGAACAATGGAAGAAGTTCGACCAAACTTGCTTCTCAAATGGATCTGAAAAGCTTTCGCGAATTATTCTCGCGAAATGTCGAAGGCTCTCGAGTATGACTGTATTTTGATGCATGATCATGTCGAGCCAATCTGACGGAAATACGGGCTTAGAAACGAGCTCTTTGAATACCAATAAAATCTCATGAAGGAAATCCTGAAGATCGTATAGTGTATTAAAGTGATTGACATACATCTTGTAATGATTCTCTGTCATACTCCTGAATATGGCCAACATAATTGCAACTAAATTACCGACTAGTGGGTTATCACGATCCATTGCAATTGATGATTGAATCACTGTACGCAATAAAATTAACATAATGTCGCGTATGTCATTATCTGTTTCGCCAATATCTTTGGAGAATAACAGTTCTAATATGTTGTTCATTATGCTAACACACTCAGCGACCTAAAAATTGATTTCAAGAAAAGAAAAAAAAAACTTTAATTAGTGTCAATTACAGAATATTTTGCATAAATTGCATATTAAAATTAAATGGAATAGTACAATAAATAATGAACAAGTTAACACACATCGAATAAGAATTTCCTAAAAGAAAAAAACAATAATTTGGAACGACAAAACACGTGACTGTCCTAAACTAATAATTTTTTTGCCTATTCTAAAACGGATTTCTAGAATTTTTAAATCAAAAAACAAAAAAAAAGTCTTGAAACAATACAAAATAATGGTAAACAAATCACATCAAACGACAAACACACAGAAAACTTATAAAAAATAAAGAAAAAAAAAATCCCAAACATATCCTCTCATATTTTTAAATATCCCATAATTTTGTCACAGAACAATACCTTCGTTTTTGCAGTTGATTCGCGTGCATGAAGTTGGGACTTTGATTCGCCCAATATTTTTGCAGCTTTTGTAAGATTTTTCTCTTGTTGCCAAATATCTGACATGATGTCCCCCTATTTATCGTATTTATTGATGATATTTTTTTATATATATATTTTTTTTTTCAAAAACAATGGGTAAGTTTTCAGGTCAATTTTAATGCCAGGCACAAGGGAGGGTTTCATTCATTATTATTATCAGAGTTTTTTTTGCATTTTCAATAATTACGCAAAATGGTTTAAATTGCAGCACACACGATTAAAATACATATTTATAGTAATGGAATCGGAATTTTTTTATGAAGGTGGTGTGGTTGTGGAAAGCGAAGGAAAATTTTTGTGGTAATTGCGTATAAAAAAAAGAAAAATAAAAAACAACAAAGTTTTAAAAAATTGTTAATTAAACTAAAATCTAAAATAAGCAAAATAAAAAGAGATATTAAATTTAATTAAATATAAAAAATTTGCAATAAAAACAATCAGTCATAAGAAGTAACCATAACCAATTGTGTTATTAATTATTATAATAAATCTAATAAACATTTAACAACAACAATGTAGGCTAATGACCTATAGAACCCTAGAAATAACAAATTGAATGAGTCACATAATAAATTACGTTACTGATAAGAGGAATAAAAGAACAGAAAATAAAATATTTTAAATTATTCATGATATTGTCATCGCGTTAGCGCATTTTCAGCTGGTTGATAAGGAAAATTTAACAAAAGTCTAGAGATTGTTTGCATTGCTTGCAGGCCTCATCAAAATTGAAATTCTGTACTTCTTGGACATTCGACCCATGCTGACTCCTACAAAAATTAATAAGCTAGCGAACCCTAGTTTTGAACCGACCTTTTGTTGATTTTACCTTTCATTTTACTAAAAATCACAGTCAGAATAATCGATACTCCACAAACTAAACTTCGCGACAAGCTTGTAACACCAAGATCTTCAAGTATGCTGCAAAAGGTGATTTGACTTACTCAAAATCTTAAAAACAACCCAGAGCAGACCATAAAGAATTCTATTTAATATTATACTCAATTAAGTTTCATAAACATCAATCCAGACATCCAAGGTCAATTATTCATTCATTAAATCAGTTGAAATACCAAGGAACTTGTCTCATATTCCAAAGACTATAAAATTCCAAATCAATTCTTCAAAAATGCGCTAAAACGGTCTATTTAAGTTGAACATAATTAATCATTAGTCGGCTAAACAAAAACAAAAAATTGTTAAATTAATGTCTAAGGTCAATGTCACAAACTGTAAACTACGATCATCTCTCATAAATCAGCTATTATTAAAGAACAACTAGACTAAAATACTACGACTACTCAATCAACAAGTGACTAAGTCTACTCGATTTAATTTCATATCTCTTTTAAAGTTAATATTGCTAGCGATTTTCATGCATGGTTAGTCATTCAATATTGCGTCTTTGTTATTGTCATTATCACAAAAATTCTACTAAAATTAAATTACGTGAGTTTATTTGTTAGTAATATGTATACATATCATTTACTTACTCAAGCAACAGAATTAATAATAGCGAGAAAAAATGAGACTAAGAACTGAAATGACACGTGAAGATGAATTGGGAGGAACTTAGAGGTTCCAGTTAATGATTTTGAAACAAAGCTTTTAGAATTTTCAAGATTTAAGATTATAAACTATTATTTTGAATTGAATTCAACATTGAGACACGATTTCATTGAATCAAAGTATCAAATTATATGACAGAACTTAAATAATCCAAAATCTCTGGATATTTCAAAAAATTGTTATTTTTTTGGCTGAATGATGTATATGTGATTATAATGTATGATTAACATTGATACAATGGGAGTTGAATCATATTTATTAGTAGTTAAAAATCATAAATTAGTCAATATTGAGCATTGGAGTTTTAATTCAGAACTCTAATTATGTGACAAATTAAGATCCAGCTCAGTTTCTAAATGAACTAAGCAAATTTTTTTGAAAATGACAATTTTTTGTGTCCAGATCTAGTCTAGACTTAAATAAAGTTTTTTTAAAATTTGTCAGATTGAAACTAAGAGTAAGGAACTGATAAAAATGATTGAATGCTAATTGATAAGTTTCGCGCTCTTGATCCAGACTTCTAAGTCAGTATTAGCAATGATAAAGTTAACCTCTAGCAAACAGCATTACTTCGAGATCTTATTAATCAAGATCGCATCAAAATCAATAAATTTGGAACCTCTAAAAGGGAATATAGGATGATGAGAAAATGAAAAGGGAATAGATACAATGAAATAAAAGAAAAAGAATGTATGTTCGCACACATAAAATAATTATCATTCAATAAAACCATCAATCATTCATTTAATCAATCACTCAATTACTCAAAAAAAATAATTACAAATGAAATAGAATTAAGAAAAAGATAGCTGATGAAAGTGAGGGAAAGAAGGCGAGAAATGAAAAGTTATCGACAGTAAAATAAAAGTATGTATAAGATGATGTGAGGGAGAGAATGAGAGAAACACATTATTACGGATTCAAAAATGTAAAACACAAGACGAGCACGTTAATCATAAAAAACACATCGCAAAAAAAAAATTTCCATTTTCATTTCTTTTTTATGTAAAGTCGTAAGTTTCTGTTTCTTATTTTTTTCGACAACAAGCCATAAAAGCATTTCGCAACACACAGTATTTGTTTATAAAAGGAATATTATCCATTTCGGTCAATGCACGTGAGCAAAACACATTTTAATATTTCATGCTGGATGCAAGTTTATTTACAAACATTGTGGATGTAAGCACCGGGAAAGATCAACTCATGGACACTTACCTCTTCCTTTGATTCTAATTTGTCTTTTATTTGCATACAAAATACTGGCAGCAGAATTCCTCGACATAATGGCATCCGGAAGATCTTTGAACCGACAATATCCTTAATACACTTCATTTTGCATTGGGTTAGTCGACCTGGTGGGAGTTTAGTGATAATTTCAACGATGAAATTGCTAGATGTGATCGAAACATATTGAACTTGGTTATTCTTCCTTAAGCTGTAGATAAAGCAATGACTTACCTCAATTTCAAGGGATCATAAACCTCCAACAGATCAGAAGCAATGATGTGTAAGCATTTAAAAATGGCACCTTGCGATATCAATAATGAATTTTTCATTTGTATTAATTGCACAAATAATCCCAACAGTTCCTCCAATCTCGTCTCAAAAGTGAATCGTCCTCGATCCTGATAAAATTCTGCGTACAGTATCCTCGATTTGATCGTGAACTTCATAATGTATTGTAAATTTTTGATTGTCTTAAAAAGCTTGCGCTCATATTCTGCGTCATTTTCCCCACTTAAATGATCCTCATACTCACGTGCTGAGCTAAAGGCATCATAAAAGTGATTTTCAAGGACTTCTATAAGCTTATCGTGAGCTAAAGTTGATGAGAAACTCTCATTTATGTAGAGATCTAAAACTGACTGGAAATGCTGATACTTTTTATCGCTCACAATTTCAATCAGCATTATAAGGCATTGAAATACGAGATTATCGTACCGAAAGGGAATTTCTTTTTGAGTTAGGATTTCAAAAAGAGCATCAAGTATGTCTTGAAGAAATTTGACGATCTCTTCAGGTGATACCTTTAATAATTGTATCAGTGACAAATCAAGTCTTTCTGGATTTGTCGACCATTTTAATAATCCAAGTAAATCCACGTCTTGTGTTAACTTTGTACTGCATAAATTGATGTCAATTGTATAATTGTCTTTATTGGCCAACGTAAATCCCGGTGCTGAAGGCTTTGGTGTCGCAAGCAATTCAAAACTTTGCGATGGTAGTGAATAGTAATTGAATTGTGTATTTGAGTCCATTTTCTTATGGTCAAGTTTATAAACGACAAGCTGATGTGTTCCTTGCTGTAAAGTCGTTCCATTATCTTGCTGTAATTTAACAAAAGACATTGCAAATGGTTTCTCATTTTTATCTTTTGACTCATTTGAACTTCGATGTTTAAACAAAAACTTTAAATGACATTTTATAAACTCTTCAATTGGCACATTAATTTTAAATGTCTCATTCCACTTCGGTTTATCATCATGTCTATAAATTACTGAATGATATTCGCTCATCATATGCGAACCGCCCCCTTGACATATTACATCTCTCACTATCTCACCATTCTCATTGCACACTGACACTATCACTTCAATGTTCTTTTCGACTGTCTTACCCGTACTCCTTGAAAATTCACCATTTACCAATGTCACGTACAAATCATTTCGAACGTCGCCCGGAAAAATGACTTCAGGAAATCCCATTTTACGAGCATGCGACATGTTATTAACACTAATCAAATGTGGATATTCTTCTTTAATTTGCTTTAAGTCACCGTGAAGCAGCTCAACACTTATCCATATATTTGAACCATCCTTTGCAATGTCTTTATTGTTAAACAATTTCCTTAATGTCATGTCGAGTGATTCTTTTTCACACGACACAAAAGGCATTGATAATTGTGTATCACTTTTGAAATCTTCTGACTTTTTGATGATTGGTGTCAGGTCCAATGCAGCAACACCAAAAGGACGTCGCATAAGAAGCTCATTTAAACTTACAACTGAGCTATTATGACTTTGTGAAGATTGTCTCTTGCCTAACATTGTTCCAGTCACGCTCCCTCTTGGATTAGCTTCTTTACTATCCATTGATCCGATTCGTATCACATAACATACGAGATAAAATTTTTTACGTTGCAGGTCCATTGAACTTAAATCGGTAAAAAGTGCACGCAAGTTATTAAAATATGGTGCAATGCCTTGCCGATTCCATTTTATGAGATAATTTTCAGTTATTGGCTTGAATTTATCACCATCGAAAAGTGTAAAAAGTAACTCCGTGTCCTCGTTCACTTTGCAGACAAAATTATGTACAGATATCAATAAATTATGCGAAAATTTGTTCGTGGATTTTAACGGTTGATTTTTGTTGATTTCAGTCTGTAAATGCCAAATGACACGAAAGTGGTATTGATTTATAAGATTAATTAATGCCATAATTTTTTTTATGCAATCATTTATGAAAGTAAAACGCTTACCGTAGCACGTCTAATACGATTTGTGGCTTGGACATGTTGCTCGTACAGTTGTGTCGTTGATGTTTGATTTATATCAAGTATATTACCATTATCATCACGAACGACCATGTCGAGACCTGTGAATAGATTGAGATAAATATTATTATGTGAGATGATAGCTTGATTGTTATCTTTTGTGTGTCACAATTTGTGAACTAGATGATGTAGTAGGAATTATGGGAATCTTAGAGATCTAGGCTCTTTTAAGAATCAGAACTACTGCAAAGGATGCCTTGAATTTAAACTATAAACATTTACATCATTCCTTTGGATCAAATATTCATTAAATACCACATATACTCACTACCTTGATATTGTGCCATTTAAACCGGCAAATAATATTTCTTCAGCAAAAAAATGGCAAATGCGAGCAATTTATTATGTCGATTTCCAGTTTTTTTTTGCTTATGAATCGCAAAAAAGTGCACTCTTATCATGCGTTTGAGCAAGACTAGCGACTACAAAACTAGATTTATATTATGTTTAACCCGTTCAGCAACAATATTTTAAATTGATAATTCTCGTCACCCACCCACAAATTCAAATTATATTTAATAGAAATGTTTATGTGACCTTACCCAACAGTTTATTTCCTGTGTCAATTTCCGATGTTGCTTTCGTTTTGATGTCTTTCATTTCGTCGACTGGTAAGTTTCCTGATAGTATTTGCGATCGCAATTTAATTAGTTCAAGCATCTTCTCACGAAACGCTCTCAAACTGCTGTTGTTTGTCTGTGTGAGATTCAAAAAAATATAAATAAATTGAAAGCATTAATCTAGACCTGTCAACAGGGAACAATAATATCTATTGATGTATCACTCACCAAAAAGTACTTTTTAAAGTGCTCGTGCCATTCTTTTAAAATTGTTGTTATTTCGTCGACAATTTCACTGCGTTTAATAACATATTCGCCTCGGACGATCTCAACATCGGTAATAAGATGAACATAATTTTTTGGAAAAATACCTTTTAATAAGCGATTTCTAGGTGTATAAAAGAGAAAAGTTTGAATATTAAAACGTGAACAATGAAAGTGAAATTATCGCTGGTCGTGGCGCATTTTTTTCGAATTACCAATAATTTGATAGAATTATTAAAGTAGGTTTTAATTAGTCATGATTGCAATATAAAATAGATTAATCATTCAAAACATATTATTTGTTTGACATTTGAATGATTAATTCACTCTAGATCACTATTAGTCAGTCCATTTCCTCAAATGGAAATATTATAAGAAAATGAGCAAACAGACAGACGGAAGAGATTATTATATTATACACAACAAGATATGCGCCAAAAATACATGTGTAATTGTATTGCATTAAAGAGATATCAATTGAAAATCGCTTTAATGGCTGTGTGTAAAACTCACTTTTTCTTGAATCCATAATACCAATGAGTACTTTCACGAGTGATTATTAAACTGTCACCGACATCTAAACATAATCGGTGTGGCTTATCGTTTTGTTGGAAATTATGTTTGGCTGTGTTTACAAAGATGAAAATGAGAAACAATTAATTATTTTTTTTATTTAATTTAGTCGATGATCAATGATGGGATCTTAATCGCTTTCTTAAAGACTTTAACACTCTTTTCCTCTCAAAAAAAATGTCAATTGACTTCCCGAAAAATTGAAATCGAAACGATTCACACGAATGGTCAACACAAAATGCGTTGATCGTTGAGTTTTTTTTTTGGCCAGAACATTGTAAAAAAGCAAATAATACCTTCTATTCGAGAATTATTGTACATAACAAACACCAGACCTCAATAATAATAAAAAAATTCTCTTTTAGTTCCCCCAAAAAGCATGAATAAAAATTGATTACCCACAATTTTCCCCACACATATGCACATGTTCAAAGCAATTTCAATTGTCGCAAGTACTGGCATCAATAGATGGAATTTTGCAATACGAAAAAGCATATGTTCCGGCCAGTTCTGGATGAAGAAATTTAGTTTAATTCGATGCAGTGTTTACTTATATAAAAATTACAATTTTCTATTTAATTGTTACTTCCCGATGGTATGTCCAGCGTAATTATACACAAGAATGTAAAGAAGAAAAGGCAAAGTTATGTAAAGTTGTATTAATTACTTTATGGTAATCGTCACGAAAAGGTTTTCAAGCAAAAAACTAAAGAATAAGTGTGATAATTAATACATTTTGACTGGCTTAGCCTTGGGAATCAGGAAAAGTATTTCTAATGTTAGATTGCTAACCGTATTGGTTGAATTATGAAAGATCCAAAGTATTAGCGGGAACCGTACTTCAACCAGACAATAAAGTAGAGCACGATTTAGACATTCTCGGTTCAATTTATTTCATCGAACTTTAAATCTAAGACAAAACTTTCAGGCAGAAAATAAGTCTTATTAAAAATTTGGCGAAGCTTAGCAAATTGGAATAACAAAACTATTCGTCAACTATAATGAAAATATATTAATCAATATCAATATCTGAACAAATTCAAGTCAATCAGCTTTACTGTGCAATTTCCATTTCATAATTCATCAATCAGATGAAATAATAAATGCGTTTTAATTCCTCAAATGCTTCAACATTTCGTGAATAATTAATTTTCTAATAGAAATTTGTTTGAATAATAATTTCATTAGCATAATCGGGCAGTTTATTACCATTTTATCGCTCACTTCCTTTTAATTTTATTTTTTCATATCGCATACCGTTTACTGCATTTTGACAATTTCCTTAAAACAAAACTAGCTATTCTTCTAAATATAGAGACGCAAAAGAAAAATAAAGAATTGAAATTCTATTTCTTTTTCTACAGACATTCCATAAACAAAGGAGAACTAAGAAATCATATATTCTATACATCAATAAATGAAATGTGGCAAATGTTTACACACTTTTTTGCCCTTTTTGTTGGATTTCCACAATCATTCTCAACATTTGGTTGAAACCGTAGTTGAAATAAAACTCAGAAGAATAAATATTATTTTATTTAAATAAATCTTATGAAACTTTTTATGAGTGACCTAAAAAACATTCCATTATATATTTTGATAATATGTAGCTAAAACATGAACAGGCAAATCTTTTTTCTCAGTCATCTAATTTAGGAAATCTCAGTTATCGTTTGGGAGATTATTAATACTTTGAATATTTTGGTTGAAAATGTTTTGACATAGGAAGTTAAATTAAGCTTTTGATCACATTGACTTTTCTTCAACAATATTAATTAAAGTATATGAAGTGAAATTCGTTAAAAAGAAGAAGTTGTAGGAAATGAGTGACTTTTCATTATGATGTATGTCTTGTGACATCAGAGGTGTTTTTTGGAGTCAGACTTAGACTATTAAAACTAGTGAAGAACATGGCCTCATTTAGCCATTGAAACCGTTTCTAAGTACAACTCTGACTTCAAACGTCACAAAATCCCAAAACTCCACAATTTTAAAGCGAATCCATTAAAGCCATTCTTGACGTCAAGTCTATGCTTGACAAAAATATTTAAACGAGCCGGTTTTACGATGATTTCGAATATATATCTTGAAATGTTTTACGACTATTTGTTTTGTACAAATAAACAAAACACTGGCATGTGTATGCACACATGAATGATCGAGAATTTATTGATCATTTCATACATTTTGCAACATAATCACAGTTATTACCTCTTAATTTCACAGATTTATATGCATTTGCATGATTTCATGCATTTGCCAGCATAAAATTTGTATCTTATGAGACTTAAAATGTTTTGCTAACATGCAACATTAAATTAATACTCTTGTATATGTTGCCGCACGTTATGTTTTCAGTTTTCAAATACAAAACAGAGAGATGAAAACAAAATACGATATGTGTGAGGCCGAAAGAATTTACAGCACACAAAGTGCGAACGAGATGTAGAATTGAAATAAAATAAGAATTAAATTAAGGCAAATAGGGCGTGCAACATTCAAGACGACTTAATTAACAACTCAACATATTTAACATTCCATTATGCTTGTTAATGCGAGAGAATTTCATTATGGATTTATTTTTTTTTTTTGGGAACTAATTAAACATGAGTTAACTTTTCTGCCTTGCATAACTCTTTTATTCATGAAATGCATTTTCAGATGTAAAACATTTCATTTTCGTAATTAAAAATTAGAGCGAAAAATATAGCTATTGAAATCGTAAAGTTCATGAATTTAGTTGGCATTTAAAAAGCAGTATTTGGTCAATGATTTTAAAGCACAATTGCAGCAATTTATAAAACACTTTATAATTTTCCCATCTGCAACAGAAACAGTACGTCAACACAGCTTAATAGTGTACATATTTTGGTTGGGGTGTATTCCCTAATGATGTTTAATTTTGATAGCGCATGAAGGGTTTGAAACTATTTAATATGGGGAAATCAACTTGAAGCAATCCAAAATTTACTTCGTCTTTGAAAAAAATACTCAGTGACATATCCAAGGGCTGCTTTCTTTTTCTATCCCGTTCACTAAACCCTTTAAAAATCTAAGAATTGAACTGACATCATTTTCAAACGACCTCTCAAACAACAACATTTCCACTGTAAAAACATTTGTCTACCAAACTTTTTGTCTCAAAGATAATAAAACTGAAGTGGTGATAAATTAGCAGTCGTTCTATCCTCCCCAAAATAATTTATGACACATAACAGGTGAATACGAAATATTTCATGACCTGATTCTAAAGAAGCTTAAATAAGATCCACAGATTAGTGTGCAAGCATATGCGCTTTTCATTATAAAGACATGACTCTCATACTAGTCTCACAATAATCTTAACGCTTTGTAGATTTAAGACTCAAAGTCAGCTGATGAAATTTGAGCACGTAACCATGAACACCAGCGGCGCTTTATCATGTATGCTTTTGCAGTATTTAACAATTGCTTTGTTCATGGATCAAACAACAACAGAAAAATAATAGAATGAGATTCTCTCATGATTAATAAATAATATAAAAATGTGGCAAGGAATGAATATGAAAATATGCGCGAGAGAACAAGACAAGATGAAATAATAGAGATGCATTCAAGTACTAATGTTTAACAAACTGCTTATCTTAAGTTCATGAGAACAGTGGCACGAGCTGTAATAAAAACATGAAATCAATGTCTTCTTGTTTAAATAAATAGACGAGAACCTTTAATTGCTCATAAATTAATATGAATGTATTAATGGGACAGGAAGTGCCTATAAAAATATGACTAAGTCAAATGCCTTCTTAATAATATATAGTTACGATACTACTACGTTAAGAATCATCGACTTTTAATCATTGAATTATTCATTCAGTTCTTCTTCACTCCTACATATTGCTTTTCCAACACGTTCTTAGAATGACGAGCTTATTTATACATGCTTTATTCCACTTAGTAAATTTTAACCAATGAGTTTGGTTGAAAGAAGAAATTTGAAACAATAGAAATGAATTAAACGCTCAATTAACGGAGTGGATTGTTGATAATTTTATGCACCCTAGACACATCCATTCATTCTTCATATTCACATATGTGTTCTGTCTCATGATATGATAATATAATTGCAGTTACTCGAGCATGGTGTAAAGTTCATTTTTTGAAAAAGAAACAATACAGCAGTTCCGCAAAAAAAAGTATATGGATGACTAAGGCGCATCAATAAAATTTATTTATGATTGTTTCTAAGTAGTAATTGTATTATATTTTTGGCTGTTATTTGATGACTGAATGATGCTATCAAATATAATTTTTATTGATAATCAGGAAGTTTTGCTGCTCATACAAGGGGATGACTAGAAGGAGGTCGGATTGAAAAATGTCATTTCTAAGGAAGCTTGTTCCTCTTTGTAGCTAATCAAATAAGATACTAAGATTCTGAATCTTATTTAAGCATTTAAAAAGAACTCTTCAGTCAAATAGTTGGAACTAGACTTAAGGTTGGAATCTATGTTAAACTTAAAGTGTAGGACATTCATTTTGGATTCTATCGTAGTCCTTAAAATAACCTGGAATAAAATGAGTTCAATTCTCATTTCACCAACGGAATAAGGAATAGATTAAGCAACTCAGCAATAATTGACGGTCAATTTACTAAATAACTGAACATTTCCAAATCAGTTAAATCCAGTGATTATTTTCGAGAAGTAATTAGTCCAAAATTAGACTCAACAAATGAATGGCATTGTGAGCAATTCATTATCAGCTATGCTTCATATAAGTCGTCAAAACGAATGATTTTATCTACAAAATTACAGTTAAAAATGCTACTTTAAAAACAAAGCAATTGTAAATGAACATATTATCAGCTCAAGAAGGGAGAACAGAACGGGAACAGTAATAAATAAATAAATATTACATCAAATTGAAAGTTTATCGTGACTTAAGCTGAGTTATTTAGCGAAAAAAGTCGGAAATGTTTAATAGTAAACATTTTAATTAGAGCGTTTAGCAATTCTCCAGCTGATGTTATATACTTATTGAAAGAGAATAAGCAATATTGGTAGTAATTTACACAGAAAATGAAATAATAAAGAAATAAATGAAGCTAAAGATCCAAGATTTTTTCCATTCAAGTGATGGCAGCCGGAAAAGAAGAATTTAATTTCACTTTTATTAATTTTCATTGATCTTTTTGAACTCTTTCGCATCTTAATAAGCAGTAGTCATGAATGTGTGCGTTCCTTCAAATCGTATCTGTCTTCGAGACATTAATAAACATTTATATTTTATTTTCGTTGAAATACGCTGATACTTTGGGTGCTAAATGTAGAATTTTTATTGGTAATGAATGGATTCTTAATTGAAGATTTTTTACGAGATTCTTCTAGAAATTCCTCAAAAATTATATTATCATTTCGATTACGTCAGACACAATTTTTTTTTGAATGAGCCATAAAAACCTATAAAAACCTGATTATTTAATGAAAGTAAAATATTTCGAATAATATTGCTTTTGGGTTGTTCACTAATGACGTCTAAAGAAATGCAAATACTGGACTTTTAGACTTCCTTGTCATTAACTTCATAGTATGCATTATTTGAGTCTAAAGAACTCTTTAGGTTTGTGGATAATGTTCTAAACTATTCTAATTTGAGGAACTCTTGTATAAATGTTACACAACTTAACACAAAGTGACAAAGCATGATAAAATGACAAGGACCCCAACATTGAATGCTGGAAAGGTCGTAAAATTATAAAATCTTGATTTGATATTCATCCACTCTTGCTCTGGTTACACAAGTCATTACCCAACTGTCAACCCTCATAATGGACATCATAAGTAAATGACCCCACATAAATATACCAATTTTCATGAGTTTTGCATTGAATATTAAAGTTTATCAATGATATCATTTCTAAACTTGATGTTTTTTTATGGGAATTCCATAATTTCATATCCAAGACTAACTCTTAAAAAATTAAAATGAATAAGTCCATAAGAATTTATGAGATAACAATGTTCTCTGGACACACAAACAAAAAATTAAAAAGAATTCGGAATGCATGTTTAATTTAGGGATCATCATTTCATTTAAACAAAAGGCAGCAACTGGAACATAAATTCTTCTTCTTTATCTTTTCAATTGGGTGATGTCAATCTATCCAGAACACTCATTTATATTTATATATTTTAAAGCATTTTTGTGTTAATTAAATTCCGTCTGCACATTAAAAATGAATTGTTTTTGGATTCTTGAAATATTTCTTGTGGTTCTGTTGCTTACAATTCATAATGCATAGTTCATAGCTAATATATATTCAGTTATGCAGCTATTTGTTTCACTGAATGTACAAATATTTAAAGTATAGATAGTTTTAAAAAGCAATCACCTGTTCAGGCAGTAAACTTAATATCATAACATGAATGAATAAAGAAATTTTTACTCAATAAAATAATATATGAGTCATGCGACTTCCAATAATAGCTTATAGCTTGTAGATTATACAGTATCGAGAAGTAAACGCGTTTGTGGAATTCCTAAGAAGCGCTATTTATAAAATAATCGATATTAATTTTATTATCTTGACGAGTTTCGGAAATTTTACGATATTATGCAATAACAAGGTTTGCATAATCTTTTATCAACCAAAGAAGAAAATGTTTTCGGTATACGAACATAAAAAAAGGCAAGAAAGACGTGTGAGACGAACAACATATAAAACTATAAAACTGCCCATAAATTGACGTCATTAATTAAATACTTGCTTTCATTATGTGAATGAACAAAAAAAGACTTCTTTAGTCTTTAAAAGATCTATAATCCTTTTTATTCTGATAAAAACGAGAATTGAATAGATTTTTGTTTTTCGAAATGTTATTTCAACCTTCAACTAGCGAGCGATAGAGACGGGAAGACAAGAGGAATGAAATGAAATGAAAAGAAAAATAACTAATTCAGATATACATTGACGGAATTCTAAATAGTGAGCAATTAATGGAAAACCTTGAAAATACTTGTGAATCTTTATAGTAAAATAAAAAAAAATAACACAAAAGTAATGTAGAAAATGTATTTATATGCCTTAACTTAAAGTACTTTGATATGTCGGTAATCGCTTTATTTTTACTTTTGATGTTTGACTGCCTTTTCTTGCTTTCATTCCCGTCCATGTGGACTGTATTTACATCTAATTAAAAACTTGCAGTTTCAGAGTAACAAGATTTTTTTCTATGTTGATTGCAGATCGCGATGAAAAATCTGGGTTAAGACTCGATTTGCCCGCAAAAATTGTAATGAAAGTAATGAAAGACGCATAAAGAGAAAAACATTATTAAGATGAAGTCTCCCAAGTAGTAAGTGAATTAAGTATGAAGAAAAAAGATACTTTGTATGACCTTTCAATCACGACTCACTGCTGTTAAGCTTAATAGCGTTTTGTCGATGTTCTCATAGAAAATAAAATTATATTGCAGTCTACATTGATATTTAATTCGATTTTATGACGCATTTTCTCACTAGTTTGAGTGTCATAGTCAGGGTTGCTAGCTAGGTATAGCTTTTAAATTAAGATCATTTGAATAGGGTAGGTCTAGGCTAGTTTGTCTCACTTTTCTTATATATTTTATATCTAGTCTGTGTGATAGTAATTTCCAAGCAGATTGACGTCTATCAGCTGCACTGCCTGAATCACAATTAAACTCAAAACACTCGAAAATTATCTCAAACTTTTCCACCAAAATGACGCTAATTTCTTGGCAATAAAAATTTTGTAAGAAAATTGTAGATGAATGTGATCTCATTCTCCCATTTTTAAGCGACCAAAAGAAAGATTTTCGTCAGAAAATAGAGACGAGATCTCACGTGAACAATATGTCAATCAACCAAAAAGAATAACAACGTGCATTGTCCGCAAGAAAATTGTGTTAAAAATCTATTTCATTGTTGTATATTTCTCATAAATTACACGACGACAAATAAGCTTCATATTCCTCAATATCATTATCGTTATCGCAAAGTGTTTGTTAATATTTTCTTGATATGATATGAAGGAAAATAGCTTCTTTTACAATTTTTTCGTTGTAGAGACATTACGGCTTAGATTTTTTTTGCCTGTTCGCTTGCCTATGCTGCGAATATGAACCCAAAAAAGCATGGAGAAGAATTTATTGTCCAACATGAATTTCTTTTTTCGGAGAACTTCATAAAAAAAAATAACAACAATTGTGTGAGAAAATAAAACTCATACTGTGCCTCCTCTCGATACCTTTTACATGACTGTACGTTTTTTTGGATAGAGTGAAGTAACAAACACGATAAACAACTCGAAGATAATAATCGTATAGTTATTTATAACTTAGAATATTCTGACTAGATTCACAGTCTTTTTTTTCCATTCAATTTCAACGAGTTAAGCAAATTCTTTTAAATATCGCAACATGAGAACTTTATTTGCTGATACATATTACTTCCTTTAAATGCAAAATGTGCACATTATCACATAACTCTTTTTACAGTTCGCTTTTATTTAACATTGTCGAGACATACCAACTGTCTTGTAAACACAAATTAATCTGTTGATTCAGAACATCCTTAGCATATGAGTGTGTCTTATGACTTTTTAAGAATAGCAACCACTTTAAGACAATATTGCAAAACCAAGTGCTCTACAGATGTCAAAGATATTTCAATATTTTCTTCTTTTTAAACCCAAAAGATTTTTTTTTTTATTCACTAAATGATCTTCTTTATTTTTTTCTGGCCACAATACACACATCTTAATTGATCATCCTTCTTACTACACTTCGACATTTTTCAATTTCTAATATAATCTTATATTCCTTTTTCATTGCATCATTATTTTTGATTTTATTTTTATTTTTTGTATTCTTATTTGTAAACATTTTTTTTTTTTTTTTGAGAGCTGTAGATCATGTATATGAGTGATCTTCAGGGAGTGTTTCATATGAAATTTTAAAAAACAATTATTTTCACTACCTATTCCAAACAAAAAATCATTTTCAACACTTTTCCACGATTCCATTTTGCTTTAAATTATTAAACACTACAAACTAAATTAAGTGCAACATTATTAAGATTTGAAATTAAAATAAAAATTAAAGAGCACAAAAAATCCGTGTATCTTTCAAAATTATTGTTTGTTCGAATAACTTCTTAGCGCTTTTTAGTAAAACTTTAGCTCTCTGTGAGCTCATTTTGGATTGAAATGTGACTGACACTATGTCTATACACCCCCTACATACATTTATTCGTTACTCACAGTGATCTTTTGTATGATGAAATGGTTCTGAGGAAAATTGTTATTAGATTTAATTTTTTTGGGAGATATTTCAAATTTATTCTAATGATCTTCGTCAAGTTAGAAGAGTTTTTTAATTTTATGACTGATTACTTGTAAATTTTAAGTTCAGGGAACGATTAAAATTTTATCGAATTCCTACCTGTAAGTCTGAAAGTTTCGAGTAATTTGATTGATAGTCAAAGAAAACGAAGAGAATTAACTTACGATGATCAAAAAAAAATTAACTACAAAATGAATGTCAAATTAGGTACATTTAGGGTTTGTGGAAAACAGCTGTTTTTGAAAAACAGTCTGTTTTCGGTTTTTGATTTTTAAAAACAGCTGTTTTCCTGTTTTTCTAGTCTAGAATTCAAAATAAACTGAGTTATCCTAAGTGTTTCTCTAAGATAATGAAACTTTTTGGTGGTTATAAGCAGTTAAGCATACATTTTAGAGCTAAGCATTATTATTTCTAAATTTTTCGTTAATTAACTCTATAAAATATAATGGAATATAAAAATGCAAAAAATTTATATTTTTAAGTAACATTGCATGTTGTATTGTAAAAGTTCCATAAACTCTAATATTTTATTTGAAATATTCAAAAAATCTTTCTGAATAAAAAAATATCTTGTAAAATTGTTGATTATATATTTGAACTTTAGTAAATGCTACAAAAGGTTCAACAAATTTAAAATTTCGATTGCAAAATTAATAATGAATAACCATAAACTTGATAATGATTTCAAACCTATTAAACATCCAAAAAATATTAAAATTGTAAATACATTTCAATTTGGAATGATAGAAAAATATATTAAGTTCTTCAAAAAATTAAGAATTTTTTTCTGTAAATTATATGTAAAAAATGAAAACAGAAAACAGATCTGTTTTTGAGACCTGTTTTCTGTTAACAGATTTTTGTTGATAAACAGCTGTTTTTCTGTTTTCTATTAACAGGTTCCCCAAACCCTAGGTACATTTCATATATTGCATATAATCTATCGAATTCATTTATTTCAATATTTAATGACTTCTATCAATCAGGGATAGACTAAGACTTTAATTTAAAAAACTTGTGGTGTAAGAGATTTAAACTTCATTCGAAGAAACAAAAAGTATGAAATTAATTTGAAATGACTCCCATATCTAGAAAAAATTAGAAAATGATCATCATGAACTAAAATTGCGCTTTGATTGAGAAATGAAAACGTGACTTGTTTCGACTCTCGAGGACACCTAATACAGTGGCGCTGTAACATTATTTCGACGAAAAACAGTTAATCTATTTTTTTAATTGACCTTTTTCATTTTTTTGAGCTGCAAAAAAGGCTCAAATTGAAAATGCATTGCATAAATAGTAAGTTAAGCAAGTATACTTTATTGTTTAGCATTTTAGTTTTTTGGTCAGGAGAAATTTAATGAGATATTTTCAATTATAAAATTATTTTAAATTTCAAAACAAAAGATTTGGTACAAGTTGAGATAATTTGTAAGAATTGTTTATAGAGTTGGGTCCGCGATAAACGCCATAATTTCATGCAATGAGTAATAATTAACAACATCAGTCATAAAATAGATTAAAATCATTCGTTGAATTATTAAATTAAAAGTAATAAACTTAAATTTTAAAAATGTTGATTAACGGACCAAATTCAAATCAAGGAATTCGATGGTGGTGACGCATAACGGCAAAGAATGGAAATGTTATACAAAGAGATAACAAAATGCCTTAAAATTGCATATAAAGTGTGACAAACAATCATTAAAATGATTAATTTATGTCAATTAATTTAATCAGCACGTGACAGGCATGAAACAAGTGAGAAATACCGGAATATTATTTAAAATTTCGTAATTTTTGAAAAGTGCGCGTTTACAGTTGTTTGCCCCTATCAAAATCATAACGGGTTTCTAAAATTCAAATTTCCCTTTGAGAAAACAAAAAATCGGAGATGTCAAGTGAAAATGGAACTAGTCCATCCAAAATTAATTGAGAAATTTCTCGAATGACGCATTGATTCGGGTCCACTTATTCACTAATCACACATCTAGTATTAGTTGAGTCAATCAAGCGAAGAATTAACGATAACAACTATCAAATGGAATGGGAAAGAGGCAATTTAGATTTGCATAGAATCACGGACTTGAACCATTTTGATTTTGAGTCGATTTTTTAGTATTCCGCCATCATTTTCAACAAGAACGAGAGATTTTTTCATTGGTTAAATTTTAATTTTATTTAATGTTGTTAACAACCAAAGTGAATAATACTATTCGCGATCATTTAATAAGTACAATTATCATCGGCTGAAAGCAAAATATCGATTTGAAACTACGGAAATGTAAGATAAAAATATGATGATTGATTTTTTTTCTTTAAGCATCGAGTAGTTACTAAAAAAACTAACACATATGTACGCGCTTAGCGAAGCTGGTCGATTCATAAATTACATCAGATTTTGGTCGAAAAATGCACTTATTTTAATCGGAAAGTGACATTTGAGTGAATTGTTGATAAAATGAGACTTAATCAGTGCCTGTAAGCCAAAATATGACGCCAAATAGTCACGGGAAGTGTGTTATTTTAGCATAATCAATGTGTTAGACCTCGCGTGTGTGTATTAAAAAAAGTATAAAGAGAAATACATATTTTTTCGGTTCTTTTCCGCTTTTAAATTCAGTATTTTGCCTATCTACAGACTATTTAAGCTCCTCAATGCGATTTTGTGCATAATTTAGCTAATTAAGCTTGTGAAAAGTGCTTAAAATGAGATAAAGACTCAAAATAATTACAATGTGATCCGCCTTATAGCATATATACAGCATATAGAATAGAGTAACAGAGAAAGAAGAAAATATCTGCTTGTATAAATATGTAAAAAAAGAGTTTAAGCTCAACAAAACATTTCCGATAAAAATTTGTGACTTAATTCTTAACATAACTAACATAACTTTCTTCTATTGCGTCTTATGTGTGAACATATTAGGCTTCTGCTACCCAAAGAATCAGATGCGACAGATTTAAAGACAATTGGGAGTGAAAATGCATCAACGACAGAGGAGACAACGGATTTGTCGACCGTAGTGAATAGCGATAATTTGACGGAAAGCAGCCTCGAACAGCCACAGATACAGCATAATAATGTAAACATAAATAACTGTGTCACTGCTGTTTCTTCAGATGATTCTCCAAAATTCGATCAATATATCCTCGACACGATTACGTCAGTTGCATCCTCAAGTTCCACGTCCATTACATCATCATCAGGTTACCAAAATTATTGTGCTAATGGAGCGACAAATTCACAAAATACAAATAATGATCCACATGAAATGCCACAGCTTTTAAATATCCTTAATGAGCTATTAGATGGACAAGATTTAACATCACTTGCTAATTCGGGTGGAAATGGTGATAATATGCATGATATGGAGGATCAAGAGGAAAATTACGAAGTTGATTCACCGAGAAAAGATGATCCTGAAGAAATGGCAAAAATACTATCAAAACAGCGACTTGAGGAAATTAGTCGAGAAGAACAGCAACTTCGAAGACGAATGGATTTCCTAATTAGACGACTGTTTAAGCTTGTTGCACGATCGACTGGTCTGCATGTGAGCGAAGAAATGGCTGGATTCCTTGAGCATATTGCGAGATATTGTAAGAAAAAGGAAATTAAAGAGAAATCATCAACAATGACATTGTCATCGTTATCGTCGCCTTCAACAAAGTTTCCTTATTTAACGGCAAACTTACAGGGAACGACTGATTTACTCACATCACCAACATTTTCAAAAGAGCCTCCCATTAATCTCCTTTCGTCACCAATGACCGTCGTTAAGACTCAGGATGAAAAACAGTCATTACCACAACAAATTAATAATAGTAATATTAATACAGCCGCAACAACACATGATGTGATAGAACCGACGAATGAACTTCTCCTCAAGCCGGTTCCAACAAAAGAAATGAGATCCTTTCTACGTAGGATCGAGAACATTTCAACTATGCAGAGCACAGTGCTAACAAAGAAAGCACTCGCATTTAAATACTTTTCAAAAACAACACCTCCAACAACTTCATCATCCAGTAATCTCAATTTGACATCTATCAAATCAGAATCAAACTTTTGTGTCAGTGCCATTCCAAAGCTTGAAGATGCCGATATCGACCAAGTCGAGCAGACATCGGGATTACTTATGAGCGAAATGCGTCTTATTGAGAACCAAATTGATTCCGATGTAACTGCAAGCAGTACGGGTGGCGAGTCTGCAGATGAAATGACGATCTACAATAATAATTTTCAACAACCCTTATCCATGTAAGTTTTATGCTCCCTATTAATGTCTTGCTTAATAGATAATGATGATACGACGAGTGAAAAGTGTATTTCATCATTATAACATTTTTTACGAAAGTAAAAACACGTCGCATCCACTTTGTTGCATAATTAAGGCTATTTTCGTTCAGTTATTTAAAGTTCATGTTCGTTCAGTACAAATTTGAACTGTCAAAAAACTGAAATCTTTTAGTTCAAATTTGAAATTTCCGTTAAATTTTTCGTTCAGTCATCCACACTTCAGTTTCGTTCAGTTCATTTAAATTTCAGAAAACTGTTGAATTTTTGAATTTTTAAAACTCGGTAAAAAGTATTAATCTCTTCACACGACGCTCGAGTCCAAAAAACACTTTTGTTGATATGACTAAGCATGAGCGGGAAGGAAAGAGCGCTTTATCATCAGCTTAATGATAACATTTGACATTTTTACACGCTATTTATCGTGAAAAATACGGGAAAGAAATTGTAAAAAGAGGGAATTCGCTAAGTTAGAGATAATGAGTGATTGTGTGTGGGGATGAAGTTGTTAATTCACAATACACATGTTTCAATGAGACAAAAAGTCATCTTACGATCATACAATAACGATGGAAAAAATAAGAAATAAATAAGTACGAAATGAAAAGCTTCACGGACAATCGGTTAAATGGTAAGAATCGAAAAACAATAAATAAGAAGAAAACATTGTGTAAAAAAATACGATGAAAAATAACCGAGTGAACGGCAACAGACAAGAAAAATCAGGTTTTGCCGGCACTATTTTTGTTTATTTTTTCATTTCTTATTTCGCTTACCCGGCTCTTTCTCCTCAACTTATTGCGAATACTTAATATATCCAGCATGAATGAATAACATGAAAATTATGCTTTGTGGATGTGTTAGTGTTGAGCAATTACTATAAAGTATAAAGTAATAGTAATAATGATAATTTTCTCATACACTTTTTTGTGTCTATAGAAGCAAACGTGCTGCATACAAATATTCAAAAGATCGAGGTGCAGTTGCATCACGATGGTGCTGGCTAGCGACTCAAATATCTGAACTCGATTATAAGATCCGCCAACACACAGATTTAAGGAAACACATTCGAGAGAATAAAGGTGTTATAACTTTAGAAAGTGCTGTCGAGAATCAACGAATATCTGGAGCAAGTACAAGCTATAATATCGACACAGACACAGAGGATATTGATGGAGGATCATCAGCACGAGTTCGACCTCTCGCAAAATCATTATTCAGAAAACGCAAGCTAGTTCAAATCACTAATCTCCATCATATTTCAAAGAAAGCAGCTCGACCGAGGTATGTGAATTGCCTTAAATCAATATTTGATTGCGAAGCTCGTCGTCGTTCTCATACAAAACTTGATAAATATTTGAATTTTCTTTTTTTTTCATATTCTTAGTACATTAAAGTGTGGATGTAATTGGCCACTGCAGCCTTGTGCCTTATGTACGGCACGAATTGATCCCACAGCACCGCGTGAACTCACTGACGTTCTTCCCGAAACTGAACGTGTTGCTCTACTCGATCCTTGTTTCCATCCTGTATTATGTTTCCAAGAAGGTAAGTGTCCAATTTACAATTCCACAATTACAGCCACAAAAATAATAAAAGTCAGACACTTTTAAAAAGTTCAAAGGTTTGCAAATCGTATTTTCAGCTATCACGTATATGTGCATATAAACTGACTTAATCGTATTTAAACGTATTTAACTATTTGTATTTATCAATATAACGGTTTTTAATTATTTGAATTTCAACATCTACTAAATTTGAATTTCAAATAACAGTTAAAATTTAACATATTTTTTATTGATCAATTTTAGATGTATCGAGCAGCATCCACCTTGAAGCAATTATGAATATTCCTGAGTGGCAATCAAAAATGATTCGATCATCACCAAAATCCATCATGAAGCATGCAACAAAGCAGTTAGAAATGCTCAGTGGTGGAAATGGAGGATTTAAGGATGATTTTAAGCTTTTTGGACTCGTTAAACCAAATGCATTCGAGACAAATGAGAAGAAAATGAAAAAAGGCAACATTGATGCAATCACAGGAAAGAGAAAGTACACAAAGAGATTCTTAAAAATGGAAGGTGGACCATTAGCAAGCAGTAAGTGTTAATTTACGATTAATTAGCTTCAATTATGAATTTTGTTCTCATTCAAATCTTTCTATTTAATGCGATATTTTAGAATTGAAAGAGCGAAAGAAGTACAAGAAGCGAAGAGCAAGTTTAGGAATGGCACAGAATTCTCATATTCCACGAAAATACACATTCAAAAAGCGATTACGTAAAGTGGATGGCATGTCAAATTCAGTTCACAATCAACCTCCAAATGGCTTAAATAATAACGATAAATATTCAGACCCAGTAAATCGTAGTAAAAACTCGTCGCCAGTACCAATTAACAGTAGATCCGAGAAGTATGTCCAGCAAAACTATAGCTTTAATGAATTTGAAAATATTTACATAACAATTTTAATTTTTTTCTTTCATCATCAGCAGAACAACATCAGAATCGAGAAGGACGAGAAATTATGATATCGATAACATCGTTATTCCATATTCTGTGGCTGCAGCAACGAGAATTGAACTGCTCAGCTACAAAGAAATACCAACACCAAAGTAAGTAACATGTTGGCATAACGCATTTGCAGGATTGTCAAGCGTACATGATGATGCAACAATTGTGAAATTTGTGGGGCGGAAAAAAAGAAAATGTTATTCATTTGATTTCCGTAATGGCGGAACCACGTTGTAAAATATATTTCTTTACTATTGGCGCCATCTCTTGAGTGACCTTGACTTCAACTTTTTTGGCTTTTTTCCGCTCACAAAACAACATTTGATTGAATAGAATGACTCAGAGATTTTTCAAGGGCAACTTTTGTCAGTAAACAGGCTTTTAATGATTATTTAGGCTGTCTTTATGAGTGATTTGTGATGGTAACTCTAGAACGAGAGCGATTTATTCAATTTTGACCAGAAAGATTTATTATTGAAATTACATAAAAATTACGAAACTAATTCAAAAATAACGAACGTTTGAAATTTTTAACAAATTCGTAAGAACCTCACAAATGTTGAAATTTTAGAATTTATACGGTTTTGAAACAAAAAATACTTATTACGTTTTAACATTTGAAATTCCCAAAAGCCGAATAATGCAAACTATTCCAGAGCATTAAATTCATGAGCTGTTATTGACGCCAGATGTGCTATGAATAATATATTTCTTTTTTATCTGCAGCCACTTTAAAAGTAAAATTAAACGAATAATTTATTTATGTTATTATAGATGGAGAATTGTAACGACCGAAGAGGACGAGGAACAGCTAATCGAAGAAAAAGAACAGTGTATCGAAGATGGAGAGATACATAGTGAGGATATAACTGACGAGAGTATTACCATCATTCATGAAAAAGCACTGCTTGACGAGAGAAAGAAGTTTGAGACATATTTGAAATTTCCACTTACGAGTCGATCACGTGCAAATCGCAGGATTGATAGTCGTGGGAATGAATCTAGTGGAACAAACACTCCCACACCAGATCAAACGTCACCTCCCCACGGAGATATCGAGGTAAATTACAGCAATTAAGCTTTTTTTAATTATTTCATTTTTAATGATAACGAATCATTATTTTAAATGCCATTTTTCAGTCAATTCCACCATCACCGCTCGATAATTCAGTGTTTCATGATACTCCTTCAATTACTGGTAATTTTATTGACTAAATAGCTGCTTAATTGTATATATTAATTAATTCAACTATTATAGCAATTCTTAACAACTTTAATGGACGAAAAGAGCGAAAACGGACCGTATCGAAGAAAGATGAAGTGCATGATGGAGGAGGATATTCTAGCGGAGTTCCATCACGCTGTATTTCTCCAGAAATCATCAAAGAAGTGAGTATTATGTCTTAGTTTTTTTAGGAATAGAGCTGAATAATTAATCCTAAGATTAGTTTAATCTCGAGGTTAATTTTAATCCCAAGATTAAAGTCTTAACAGTTATTGATGATTGTGGCATACAAGATTTTAAATTACGCAGTGCACTTATTCAGCATCTGTTTCTCATGACTATCACAAATGACAAGCAATATGGGCATTAATAATTCAATATACCAGCATATATTAACATGAAAATATTATCTGCAATTTCTTTTTAGATAATTCCGGCATACGAGCCATTGCATTTCCCATTATCGGATGTATCGTTTCATCGACTAAAGCGAATGATGCCGAGTGAGCATTTAAAACATAACGACAACAGCAGCAGCAGCATAAAATATTATAAGCCAGTAATGAAGGAGGAAGAAGCTAGTCAACATCATAATACACAAACTTTAACGACATCAATAAAGCACACAAAAAGACCACAAAAGAGACGTAAACACACTGATAGTATAAGTGAGAGCATACTAATCAGGGAAAAATTACCATCATCATCATTAGCGACAATTGGAAAGAATAATAATTTATTGATACCGAGAAATAATCACAACATACTGAATAGCATTGATCTCAAAGGAACGGACGGTGCAGCGCTAAAGAAACTCATGAATAATAATAATGGGGATCTATTAAATGGTGACAGTTTTAATGACGATGATCAGGACATGGATGATAATTCTGATAGCGAGACAATTACTGGAGATGAAAGCTTATTTGAGCCTGATGAGGTAGAAGAAACAGACTCTGATGAATATTTGGACGATGAGATGGAAATGGACGAAAAAATTACATACAATAATAAAAAGAAAAGTTCCATGATTTCAACATTGGACTAGTTCTGTGGTCTAAAGTTGATAATCAATCGAAACGTGTGTTTAATGAGATAAATAATAATAATATTAATAATGCTGATTCAGACATGGAAAAAAGAAGGATTCTATAAATATAGATGAAAAATCAACATTGTAAAATAGCTTAGAGCGGTTATATTGCTATTACAAACTACTAAGAATTATAAAGTTAATACTGATAAAGATGAAAAAGTGTAAATAATTTTAGTTTTTACAATAAACAATAAAATAAAATAATGTTTAGTCTCCATCAGCTCTGCTAACGTATTTTTTAAATTTAAATGTTTCTAACGGTGTTCAGAAATTTGAAATTTTCAGCAGTCTTTCAGAAATTTTGGCGGGAAATTGGAACATCAACAAGAATATTTTTAAATTATTAAATACAAGTGTAATTAAGTTACTAGGATGAAGTTGCTGTGTGAAACTAGTGTAATTCGAAGCTCTAATCGTGAAATCAAAGGACGGTTCCTCAAATCAACGCTGGCAATTGGTAAAAAAGATGAAAAATCGAAATTGTGTATAATTCTCATAACATCCAGTAACAAGTCAGGAATTAAATATGGTATGAGTCACCTTGACAAATCGTTATCATCTTAATAGACATGATTTATTTACAGACTTGACAAATAATCTAGCTGGAATATTCAGGAAGTTTATAGACGAAGGAAAGTGCACAATATCTTTTGTACTTCCAGAAGTGGATCTTCAGATTAAGGCTGACTCGATTCAACTAAAAGCTTTCTTAAATATCATGAAGAATGAGTTATGTCCAACAAAAGATGGTCCGAATAAAGAGCTTGGAAGGAATGACAATAAATTAATTAGAGCATTTGGAAGTACCAACAAAATGATAGCAGATGAAGTCACGAAGCTTAATATCACTAAAAGATCAGAATTTCCAACGAAAGGTTTACCAAGAACATTAAAGGAATTGCATATTACAGGTGTTGGATGTCTGCAAATGCCGATAGGGATATTAAACTTGTCTAAATTAACTCATCTTGATTTGACTAGTAACAAGATTGAAAAGCTTCATAAAGCTGTAGGGAATCTCAGTATAAATCAATTGATATTGACGGATAATCTATTCGGAAAATCAACAAGCTTAAAAGATTGGGAATGGCTGAATGGACGAAATATCCAATTATCCCTTCATACATTAATTATGTCAAGGAATAAACTTAAAATGGCACCAGTTTCAGTAGCTAAATGTGAAAATCTGGTTTGCCTTGATCTTAGTTTTAATGAATTATCGGCAGTTCCGTTTTCGATAAAGCAATTGAGGCATTTAAAAACACTTAATTTAAGTAATAATGAATTGAAATCCTTACCTTGTACGATGAGAAGCCTTTATTTAGACCTTATTGATCTCAGCACTAATCAGTTCCATTCATACACTCAATCACTTGAATTATCACAAAATTCACTAGCTAGTATCACAACACTAAACTTTAAATTCCCAACTTTATTTGAATTATCATCACGTTGTGTGATGAGACAACAGATGCCATTTATGTCCTTAAATATACCACACATAATTAAAGAAATTTTATATCACTCTCCAAATTGTTCGAAATGTGGATCACTGTGTTTTGATAGAACAATCTATAAAAATATTAATATTGTGTCACTGAATGCTAAAGCACGCATCACTACCGATAACTCTAATTATTTTCTAGTTGATGGACCATTATGTAAAATAAGCTGTTTAAATTCAAAATAAAACTCAAAACTTGATTAGCAATTTTTTTTTATAAATTATGTCTTAAACTACATTAGTCAATAATAATCTAAATGTATGTAAACAAGACTGTGCAAAAATCACAACGGTTACTATGATTTTAAATTCATTTCAATCCTTAAATAAAATCATGTTTTTGGTATTGTATTTGATTATATACGCTGAGAAAGTCACTTTGGGTGACTTATTGACTTTGCTTGTGTCAAATGTGGTAGTTTTTGATCAATTGAAAGGATTGAGTTCGATTAAAAACAAGTATTGAAAAATAAAACTTTTGAAAAAATAACTGTCAATAAACGTTTAAAAAGTAACGGCAAAAAATTATTTAAAAGCCTCTAAGTTCAAAAAAGTTCAAAATTTGAAAAAATAACGGTTGGATTAAAAATGAAATCTTGAGATTAAAAGTAGAGCTTAAGATTAACAGCCTGCAATGTTATGAAATCAACAGAAAGCGCTATATCTCTTTAAAATAAACCGCAACTGACTTTAACACTTGCTTATTGACACGAATCGTGGTGATTTTGTGTGTTAAAAGTTTTCTAGTGAATTCCACTATTTAACATAATTATTAAGTCTTATTATCAATTGAATTTAATTATTTTAATCATCAACAATGAGTGAAGAGTTAAGTTTTGAGAAGAAGTATGAATACATCACGAGAAATCTACAAGAAGTTTTAGGTGATGAAAATCTCAAGAAAATTGTACAAGAACGTGACATGAAGATATATTGGGGAACTGCCACAACAGGAAAGCCTCATATAGCATATTTTGTTCCTATGACAAAAATCGGTGACTTCTTAAAAGCAGGATGTGAGGTAAGTCGGTGACTTTCACTATTTTGGTTAAATTGAGTTACAGTAACTTTACATGACATGTTGTACATTATTTACTTTCTAGGTCACGATCTTATTTGCTGATCTACATGCATACCTTGATAATATGAAAGCTCCATGGTCACTTCTCGAGCAAAGAACAAAATATTATGAAGCTGTCATTAAAGCAATGTTACAATCAATTGATGTTCCTTTAGACAAGCTTAAATTCATTCAAGGAACTGACTTTGAATTGTCTAAAGAATATACACTCGATGTTTATAGATTAACATCAATTGTTACTCAACATGACGCTAAGAAAGCTGGTGCTGAGGTCGTTAAACAAGTTGAATATCCACTTCTCAGTGGACTTTTATATCCAGGACTTCAGGCTCTTGATGAAGAATACCTTAAAGTTGATGCTCAATTCGGCGGTGTCGATCAACGTAAAATCTTTACATTTGCAGAGAAATATTTGCCACAATTAGGCTATGCCAAGAGAATTCATTTAATGAATCCTATGGTGCCAGGATTAACAGGAAGTAAAATGTCTTCATCTGAAGAAGATTCTAAAATTGACTTATTAGATAGTCCAGCTGATGTTAAGAAGAAGATTAAGAGAGCGTTCTGTGAACCTGGAAATATCTTAGAAAATGGACTTTTATCATTCGTCAAGCATGTCTTGTACTCAATGTTTAAGGAAAACGAAGGATTTGAAATTAAGAGAAAACCCGAGTTTGGAGGCGATGCCACATTCTTAAAGTATGAAGATTTAGAGAAAGCATTTCAAGAAGAGCAAGTTCATCCAGGTGATTTAAAGGCAGCAGTTGAAATTTACATCAATAAATTGTTGGAACCGATTAGAAAAGTTTTTGATGACAAAGTCCATCGTGAGTTGACTGAAAAAGCATATCCAACAAAGAAGGCAGAGAAAGCTGATGAAAATTCACCAGACAAAATGGAACTTAAAGCAGGAAAGGTTTTGGAAGCGATTAAGCATCCAGATGCTGACACACTTTGTATCTTAAAGGTTGATGTTGGAAATGGCGAATCTCGATCTGTAAGCAAGTGATTTATTTTTTATAATTACTGTGTAATGACTATATAAATTATTTGTAGATCGTTAGTAACTTGATGACTTACTATAAACTTGAAGACTTAGTGAATACAAATGTTGTTGTGCTGACAAACATGAAAGCATCAAAAATGCGTGGAGTTGAAAGTGAAGGACTAGTGCTTTGTGCTTTTAAGTGAGTATGGTTGTCTATTTGAAAAATCTTATGATAATTATTCTGGGTTCAAATTAATCCTGAGATTAATTTCAATCCTTGGATTAAACTTTATTAAATCCAACTTTCTATCGATCCTTCCAGTGAGAATAAATACGAACCACTCAAAGTTCCATCAGATGCTAATGTAGGCGACCGAATTTTCATCGAAGGATATAACAACACAACTAGTGAAGTTCCACAATTAAATCCCAAAAAGAAAGTCTGGGACAAGATTCAAAGTGAATTGAGAACAAATTCTGATGGCGAGTGCGTGTGGAGAGAATTCAGCATGATGACAATTGGTGGAGGAAGTATCATGAGCAGTCTTATTAACTGCAATGTGAAGTAAACCTGCTGAGCATTTTTATTACAATATTATTGGATTTTGTGAGTGAAGTTGTCTGGATATTGGTTTCAGTGATGATTAAAAGCAATATTTAGACACTTTCAGTCATGACTCGTTCATTATTTTTATGCTTTTTATGAAACATCCTTAAATTATGAAATAAAAGTTTCTATGCTATTGCGAATTTTGAATTCAAATCCTCAATCTCTCATAATTTTGGAGTTAAAGCAAAGCTGCTTATTCCTTATAAGAACTAGTCACAAACCAGTGGAAAGTCATCAACAAAACTCAGTACTCAAAATAGCAATCAATAACAGTGTATCTGCTTGAAAGTCACGCTCGATTTTTTCAAAGAGTCTCGGATAGGACGAGGATTACTCAGCATACGTTTAAAAGCTTACTTTCTACTTGATATTAATATTGTATTAATAGATTTAAAACAGCAAATGAATTATGATTAAATTTTTAAAAGATTTTTATTTAAAATAGATTCAATTTTTGGATAGATTTCTTCATATTAACATAAAAAGTTTTACATTTAAACATCTCATTTTTCAATTTTTTGTCCACAATAATTTCGATCATGTCTTAATAATCATTTCACATAAGTTCTTTGTTACTTTTTCACGATAATCTTAATACTTCTGTTTATATCCATTTTATATCCTAATGTCATCATCATCGTCATTAATTTGAATATAACACGAAAAATTGTAGAAAAAATTCTAACATCTTGTCCATTAATAGTTTTATGGAGATTATGCTTGATATATTTGAAGTAAAAACAGTCTGTGATAAAAAAATTGAAGTTATTACAAAAGTGTTATCTTTGATGATTGTAAACCTTATTCAGATCTTTTTAAATTATGTGATTTTTGTGTCACTCTCTCGTTTTTGATAATAAAAAAAGGAACCAACGTGAATGGTAGTAGCAATAATATTTCTAAGTGTATAAGTATATGATTCAGTTAAGAGTTTCTATTTTTTTAATCTAATAATTTCCTGTGATTCTCTTTTAATTAGTCTTTCAACAATGGAATGGTGCATCAGTGAAATATAATGAGCACTGTTTTATTATTAAATATTTTTTTAATTTTGTGTATGCTCAATCTATCTAAAATGATAAAATATATAGATTCTATATTTCAATATATAATATACTTTTGGATATTCTCTCATCAATAAGAGGGGAGGGAAGAATTTTTTTTCGCGTCATGTTCTGTTCCAGAATGTCAAGTTGATTAAATATTGTCGTTAAAAATTAATTTGAATTGTTTTTCATGAGAACTGTACAAATGTTTGGTGACATTTCAAGGAATTGAATGGTTTTAGGAATTTTTGACATTTGAAAGGTTTTATATAATTTTAGCTGTTGAAAATGGTGTTAAAATCAAAACCATACAAATGTTTCTGGATTCTAAAACCCTTCAACAGCAACTAAGTTTCAAACCCCTCGCAAAGCAACTTTACTTTCAAAATTTTACTATCCCTTCTATTCAAACCTTATTTTTTTGGCATAAATCAATCTTATAGAAAATCGAAAAAATCAAACAAACTGAAAATAATATCTACAAATTCCTTATTAAGCTACAAAAAAGAGCCAAGATTCAATCGATTGTCCATAATAAGAATCCCAAATATTTTGGCACATTTCACTACCATTTCTAATCTAATTTGGTGTGGCTTAACACCCACAATGTACAGAATATTATTTAACATAACCCATTATGGCAAAGTAATTGATACGATGGCTTTTATTAATTAAATATCTCATTGCGAAATTCTAGATTTGGCATTTTCTCAGAGAATTCTCCCCAATTTATTGCATAAAGACCTTGAAAGAAACTAATTTAGCCAATATCATGTCCACAGAATTAAATTCTGCTAAATCATCTCAGCAATTACCCCATTTAAGTCTCATCGTCGCAACAATTGCTCAATTCTCATCAAAAACATTTCAATTCTTCACTTCTTTATCAGACGATCTTCAATCAACTTCAGATTCTTTTCTTATTCATTTTATAATTCAAATTTGGTCACTAACAGTTATACATACTTGAATTTTTTATTTATTTATTAGTCTATAATGAGATTTTATTTTTGCGCACATGATTTTCTTCTCTTTTTTTATGCTACTTAAGTCCTAATGAAAAAAATTATGTAGTTAATATATAAAAAATAATAAAAATGATGAGAAATACATTTACAACACATACATTACGTCGAAAAGATGAAATAATAGTAAATAATAATAATAAAATGAAGAAGAAATTGAGTAGAGAAAGTAAGAAAGTTAAAGTCTAATTCTTTGATAGTTAAAAATTAGATCAATCGAGAAAGAAGTTTACGATAGTCATATCTTAACTATATTTAAATTTTTTTAACTCTCATAAGAGTATTTCGAATAAATTTGATTAGTTTTGTGTTTTAAATGAATTTTTTGTTATCCATTTTGGTGATTTTTTTTTGCTTTTTTGTCTTCATATATTTATTCCCATTTGGTTTTAGACAGCAGATACTTGTGTCTCGTCATCATCTAAAATAAATAAAACAGAGAGAGGAATATGAGAAATATGCAAATGTGGAATAGAATTTATAAGAAATTAAAAGCAAGCTGGCTAATATGAATTGGCGATAATACTTAATGAGGAAATTTGGCGCATTCTTATTTTATTAGCAATTATTTAATAGTCAGTCAATGACTCACTGACATCTAAGGATTTGGATTTTGCAAATTTGAAATTTAACGCCTTTTTGTAATTTGGATTTTAACGGTTTTTGGGAATTTGAATATTCAAAGTTTCTTGCAATTTTCAAACATTCAGTGATCGTTATCTCTTAAAAACATTATTATTAGCTACGCTTTATTAGATTGATCTTCCTTTTCCCTAATAAGTTGCACATCATTTATGATCGATCCCCAAATGAACTTTCTCAAAAAACTTCCTATTTTAAAGATTTAAAAATTTAAAGGTTCTCTGAAATTTAAAGCATAAAAATTTCCAGCAACTTTTAAATTTTGCTTTTTTTAAATTTTTATTTGAAATAACCGTTAAACTATTAACATCCGATTTTTTTAAAAATTCCGGGTTTTAATTTAAGTATGATTTCTAGAAATGGAACTGAGTCTACCAAGAATATTAGATTCAAACCTTCAAATGATCTCAATTCTTTTTAAATCCCAAAACGTGACCTACTAGTGCTCACAAAGATATTAATCCAGTTAGCTACACCGAAAAGTAGTTTGCATAATGACAGAAAAAAATTACAGAAGTCCTCGTTTTATTGATCGAGGGACTTCAGCGCATTTTTGACGCAGTGATCACTATTTGATTATCCAATTATTTTGCGTTCGTTTACAGATCATTAGAAGATTAGAAGATCATTAATTTTAGTGCAATTAGCAAATAATTACAATGAATGCTTATATAGAAAGGCTCAACGGTCAAAAAATAATTTGAAATTTTCTGGCTAAAAGTTGCACTTCAAAAACAATAACTATAGTATAATTAATAATTTGTAGTAATGAATTTCCATACAACAAGGGTTTATCATGAAACGTTTTTTTTGGAATTCAAATTTTTTAACGGTCAGTAAGTTTTTGAAAGCTTCCCGCCAAAATATATACAAAAAATCATTAATTATAGTATATTTATCAATTTAATATCTTTAATTCTCCTATATAAATTGTTTATCATTTAACGGTTTTCTGAAGTTCAAATTTTGTAACGGTCGTATGAATTTGAAAGTATCTTGCCAAAAGTTACAGTAAAAGCATTAATTATAGTATAAATAACAGTCTGTTGCAAAAAAAAAAGTTTCATATAAAAAAGCTTGGTAATTTAACGGTTTCTGAAGTTCAAAATTTTTCAACGGTAGAAATAAATTCGAATTTCTAAACGCTCTCATCACGTGTTTTTTCATATGAAATATAAAAATCATTAATTAAAGTACAAAAACACTGTTTCAAGACTTTTAAATGCGTTTCCCGATAAAAAAACAATGGACCTGAGCTAATAAAACAAACTAGAACTCTATACGATGTCTAGTTAAAAAGTTTTTCTCCGCCCGAACGAACGAACAAAGCGACATATTAAGCTACCTTTTCGAAACAAGTTTCATAAATGCGCTAAAAAATACTCACCGTCTTCGTCTGGATAAAATATGTCAATATCACCGCCTAACGATGACTCAATAACACCTTCATGAGAGTAAGCTCTTCCAAGATGACGTAGACGTGCCATTTCAGCTAAATTGCTGTGCTGTGCTTGTGGGTGGTAACGTTGATTTGTTCTTGGTGGAGGTGATGGAATCATTCCTATATTGAAATTAATTAATAAGCAATAATGGATTAGTGTCAACGTGAAAGCTGCACAGTTGGTAGAAAAACGACTTACCAGTGTGTCGTAATTGCTGATACGATTGCTGTGAGGCATAAATATTGTAACCTGCAACATTTGCGCCAGAGACACCGATATTAGCATTTGGCAACACTGGAATGCCTATCGAAAATGGTTGTTGGACGACACGAGTTCGTGGATTTGGTGGAGGTGGCATTGCCGATAAATCTCCATTTGCTTGCTTTGTACTTGAATTATTAACACTATTTGGCTGGATCAGTTGATATAAATTCGTATTATTTGAACCCTGTTGCACGGCACTATGCCTTCTTGGGGGCAATGGAGCTGCCATTGTTGTTGCTGTGGTTTGTAAATGGTAGACGCTTTGTTCACAATAACTCATTGCATCGCTATGTCCACTGTCTGTCGAGGATATTGAACCGTGTGTCTTCCTTATTGGCAAATTGCTGAGTGATGTCACAGAGCTATTAATGGACGAGACAATAGACAAATGAAATTAGCTTTATTGATTGACGCTGATAGTTCAAATGTTGGCAATTGTCAATTTAATTCTTCTTTGTATTTTCGAGACGTTCCGGCTGTTATTTAATTGAATTTTGGCAATGACCTTTGTAAAGGCAGATTTAACGCATTTTTGAAATTTGAAAATTGCAAAAAAAAATTGTAAAAAATTCAAAAATAATTTTAACGGTTGAAATAATGATTTTTAAAAATCGTTATTGCATTAAGCATTAAGCACAAGAAGAAGATCCCAAAATAAAAGGGAAATTTTTTTTTCTGCGCGATGAGCAAAGATAATAAATTCACGATATTTGTAATTAAATAAATTTGTATTATGATTATAATAATAAAATAATAGTGAACATACCTGCTTTCAGCTGATAAATCTACTGAGGGTAACGGGTTTGGCGTGTCAGAATGCGATCGTTCATGCACAAACTTTCCAACGTTTGTCGGTGCAAAACAATGCATTGGTTGCCATGCTGTTGATGAGCCTAGAAAGCGAGCAATTAAAATAAGCAAGACGTCACATTATAAACAAGAATAGAAGCTTACCGGCAGCAGAAGCAATTCGTCTGTGAGAACCGGGCGATGGAGATGGACTTAGATTCGTATGCTGCAAATTATGAGAATATGGTAACGCAGATCCGTGCGGAAGATTCATTCCTAAAAGTCTTGACTGATGTGGACGTGTTTTTGAGTTTTCAGCTAGCGATAAAATCTTTTTGACAGCTTGCGGCGATGCTGTTCCAAATTTTGGCCCAACATTCTTCATGCCTTCACTTTTCGAGCTTGTACTGCTCGTGGTTGAAAGTGTGGGCGACGGATGACGTTTTCGTATGGTAACAGAATTTGGTGCAGAAACAACTATAGCCGGTTCACATTCTAGTGACATAATGTGAAGTTTCTCTTCATCTTTAACAATTTGGATATTATTGAGGTACGCTTTAACACGACGAACCATCTGAGCCTCTTCAAACATTTTCTTTGGATTTGGTGTCTGTGCTGACTTTTTTCTTCTCTTTACTGTCGCTGATCCATGTTGGATGATATTAGCTGCAAGTGAATGACCGAAATGTGTAGTTATTTGATTAAGTGCTGACATAGCTGCATTTGGTTGATTCTTAATATCCAACATGTTTAGAATATTGTCCATGTACGGTGTTGGTGAACTGCACATGTCCATTAAATTTCTTACTTCCTTTGATATCATTCGTAGCTTCTCGAAATTTATAAGACCATCTATTCGTGTATCATTGCCAAGATGAATGAAGGTAAGGTCCTTTTTAACGACAGGATAGAATGGTATAAGTGATCTCTTCTGTGCCATTTCCATTGCCACAAGTTGACGATACTTTGACATGTTTCGTGAGGGATCCATGAGCTCTTGTAGATCATTAAATAATTTCTGATATTTACTCGGTAATTTTTCCCATGTTAATCTCAACCGCGAAATCGACGCATGACCCAAACCCGAGATAATTGCAAATACTGAATTAAAGTTTTTACATTCTTTACAATGTCTTGCTATTTTAATAAATTGCTTAATAATTTTCATTCGCCGCACGATATTTGTTTCTTTGCAGATCTCACCAACAACCCAAAACATTTCATTATTAACAAGCTCTGAGAACTTATTAAGCATTGGTGTACTATATTTACTTTTGATCATGAATAAATCATCAATATATTCGGTCGATTCGATTTGTCGGAAAATCTGGAAGTCTTGATGAGTAAGTTGGATTGCAATCTCGTTTGGATTTAATTGGAGAAAATGTACAATATTTTCACGTATTAGTTCTGATGCCATTTCATCCGGCACAAGTGTTTCCGTAATTCCATTTGTTTTCAAATAATATCTCGAACTTAAGCCTATTCTATCGGCTAAATTCTGTAGTTGTTCAGGTAATCTCCTTTGTTTAATCATGCCTCCTTCGCTTACACTCACTTCACATAGTGAAAAATTATTGCTTGATTCGTGCATGCCAAATTCCTGTAATGATAACATGACAACCTCATGTGCTGTCGTCTCTTTATGAATTAATAGGAATTTATAAGTTTGATCAGGTTTAAAGACTTTCAGCACATGCTCTGGGTAGTCTGTTGATTTAATATCATCATAAAACATTGCGAGCTCTTGCTGATGATTATCTGGATGTGAGTAAAAGTTTGTATTTGTACTGGCTGATGTGCCAGCACTTCCGCTTGATGAAACAGATGTCATGGTTGTAATTGTTGTGGTTGAGGCTGTTATTGATTGTCGATTAAAATCATGTTCATGATTATCGTCTTTCTCATCGTCCAGCAAAGGATCTTCATTATTTCCATCGAGATTTGAGTCAATTTCACTTCCCGTGTTTTCCTGATGATTAATATTTTTACTGATTGTTGAAGATGACGAAGAAGAAGACGAGACTGTTGTACCTGTTAAAAATCCACTGCTTGCATCGTCCTCCTCATTAGCAGCATTAGATAATGGTGTGTCAATGATTGTGTTAGTCTTTGGTAAGAGATTTAATTTTTGAAGTGCTTTCTGTATCTTTTTCTTTGGTCCCAATGTTAAAAAGCTATTTTTATGGTGATTCATAAGACTCGCGACTTTTCCATGTCCCGAATCGATACTTCCAAACTTTATTGGTGTTAATAATGATGACTTTGAGAATGCATTTGAATATTTTAAAAGTGGATCATTTGCAACATTATCGGTGACGTCATGACTGGATGTTAGTAAATCAACGGATGATAATCTCACTCGTGTGTCTGTTGCTTGCAATTTCGCCAAATCTGATGCAATTTTCATTTTCGTTTTTAGTCTTGGTGAATTTTTATTTGTTGAATTTAAAAGTTCACGAAAAACGAGTAAATTGCTTTTGACAGCGATACTCAAGTGAGTTGTTCCTGTCAAAATTTCCATTGCTCTGACATGTGTCACATGCTCAAAATTATGTCCATTAACTTCTAATATTTGATCGCCACGTCTTAAGCCCATATCACAAGCTTTTGAATTCTTATCGACCTCAAATATAAATATTCCACCTCCTTTCTCATATCCACCAATAATCTTAAAATGTAAGCTCTCATCTCGAGAACTTCTCGTCAATGTAATTGTTCTTGTTCTGGCTTTATGTGTATGCGCAACATGTAACAACTTTAATTCCTCTAACATACAATGTTTCTCTAATTCCGACTCGAATATCTCTAAGAATTCCATCATTGGAGAATCAGTTTCGAAATCAGTAAAGTAATTATTTACCCATAAGATTACAACGCGTGCAACACGATACTTTACATCAATATATGATGGGGCTGATGAGGATCCATCGGATATTGGTGGTTTTAATTCATCCACAATCTCGTCAGTACGAAACCATTCCAATAATTGATTAGCAACACGAATTTGTGAATCAATAAATGTTCTATGAGTAAGAAGAAAGTCCTCGACATAAGTTGGATCATTTATAGAATTCTCCTCAATCAAATGTAACATTAATCTCTCCGGTGTTCCTCGAATCACGACGGGTTCCCTCTTACCAGCTACGTCTGTTTTTCGTAATTCTGTTACGATTACAACTTTTCCATCTTCCTCGTGTTTTCTTATGTTACCTTCACCCTCATGCAGGATACGATAATAATCAGTTTGTGTTATGCAGACAAATTGACAATCGTCTGTTTTTGTTCTCATAATACCGCTATGATATGATTTCTCCATTGTTGGCGCAATTCCAAATGAGTCGCCATAATGAAGTTGTTCTGTAGCACCGCCTGGATGTTCTATCTCAACAATTCCGTTTATAAGGACACTCCATGAATCCAATTCTTCGCCTAAAGTCGATTTTGGAAGGGATTAACATATTACATAATAGGTTTTTAAGATGGACCTTTAAGAATTGCTAGATATAATATTGAATTGAGGAATTCAGAGATAGATAGAATGGATAGAATTTAACCTCAAAATCCTTCAAACTAAAGCCTGAAGCTAGCAACAACCCGAGTATCTTATAATGAAGAAGATAAATACTTGCCTTCATGCATAACAACCGTTCCCGCCTTTTCTACAACAGCAAAAACCATCACAGAACATAAAGCACGTCTTACTGTCAGCGTCATATTAGTAAATGCTTTTAAATTTTGCGTAAAACCGAGGAGCACCTCAACGTCACTTTCAGTCCTTTCTGTTGGATCTTTCTCGAGACAATCGCGAACAGTGTCACGAATATTTGCACTCTCCATAGACTCTGTCAAATCCTCCTCATCGCTGTCCACGACAGACTCGATAAGACCCGATAAATCCACCTCCTCGGCATCAATAGATGAACTATGTATTGATGTCATTGTGTCTGATCCGCTATATGCCGAACTTGTATCGCTTGAATGACAACTTGAATGAGAATTTCGATTGCACTTTTGATATAGGTCCGGTCTTGTTGCGGAAATCTGTTGATTTCGTGATGAAATTGAGAATATTTGTAATGGGAATTTTTATCATTTGTTCGAGGATTGTGAATGGGAACTAAATAGTAAAAGATTGTTCGCAAATGATGTCTGGTTTTTAAGGGGGATAAGGGTGGGGTCTGGAGTGGGTTTATAGAGATACACCTATACCCAACCTAGTGTAAATTCTAGAAGTAGGGTTAGGTATACACATTTGGAATTGGGAGATATAAAGAGAAGCTCTGTCCAAAAAGCAGATTTTTTTGAGAACCGAGATGGGAGTGGATCTATCGACCAAAATGTTCGTATTCCTCATCTTTAAACTAGAGAAAGACACCGTTAAGTATTATACCAAAAATGAGATTAAGCAGCATCTGAATTTTCGCATAAAATTAAACGGTTCTCGAATTCTAAAAAAGTATTAAATGACAGAGCAGAGATATGTGTGTATGCAAATAGAGAAAACTATATAAAGCTACAAACAAAACTAATTATATGGAGGACATAAAGATAAAACAAGTTTTTAGTATTATATAATTTTAGAACTTACGTTATCATCATCCAAAACAGTATTATAGCCCGTTATATTCTTAATTACATGGGAATGATGATCCATGTTTTGATTCCACTAAAACTTTTGAATTTTTATTCCTTTTTTTTCTTTGATATTTGCGATTTTAATTAAATTTGCTGGTCGTCTATTAATTCCTCACAATTGTTGAATTGAATGCAGATAAATGCATAATAATAATATAAATGTCTTATTCACATCGTTTAGTTTTAGGTTTCACTGATTTTTATCATTAATAACTCATGTACTTGAAACTTGTTTTCAGTATGAATGAAGAAATAGAAACAAATTTTCCCTTTTCAAATCACTGCAACTGTGAGTAAATGTTGATAAAAGCTCTGCTTGTTACTGCAAAAAAGTATTATGAAAAGCAGATCTGTTAATACACATATATCGTTTATACTGTAGAAACTATAATCATAAAGGCAGAAAAACCATTAATAATTTAAATGCACTCAATTGAGCTATCTTTTTTTTTAGTGGAAAAGTGCTGCTTTATAGTTTTATATACTTCCAAGATGGAAAAAAGAAAATGTTTTAATGTAAAAATCTCTTTTTATATGGAATGAAAAAAAACCAGCAGCCGAGATGTGAGAGAGATGAAAATTAGTTCGGTGATTAAACAAAACACAGACTTTATGTATGAATATTTTTTTTTTATATTAAAGGAATATTTGCGTTGTTCCTTTGGCTTTGAGAGGCTAAGGCGCATTAACTGATAAGATTGAAATCTAGGAACTATAGTGGAGACTCTTCCTTGTTTTATTTTTTCTTGAATCCAGCTTCTGAACAAAGGTTGGAACAATCTGTATCACTTAGATCATGAGTTTCTATACTAATCTCTTTGCTAGCTGTTGATACAGACGGTATTGTACTTAATGTTGGTAATTACTAAGCGATATCTAGCTTCAGGTGCCATATCATTAGACTACAATGTTAGATATTTGTGAGATAGACTTTAATATTTGATCAGGTTTTGATCGGAACTGTTTCATGTTTTAGACACTTTTTTTTTATCAATTTTCATGAATTTATTACCAAATAGAAATGAAACCAAGTCTTTGAATTAGTCTACGAGGACTAGACGTCATAAATTGACAAAACAGACATTTTTTATGGCACTTTATGAATTCAAGTCCAGGTCTTGTTTGTTAAAAAATATTAAATCTTTACTTAATCGTTTAGGAAGTGTAATAAATGAATGAATGATCCCAAAGAAGTTGAGGGACTTTAGATAGAGAAGAAACTCAGTGGTTGATATCTAATTTAAGTTTTGTCCAGAGGAGGAGAAGTTGAATCCATTTTAATTGTTGAATCGTTTACAGAGTTTGGACTCTAGAGCAGACCTCATCTAAACTTTCAGGAAGTACACTTTTATAGTTTATTCAATGTGTTTTGGATTCGCCTCAATTAACACTGAAAATTTTTATGATTCAAGCTCTCTTTTTTGATCAAGAATATTTCTGGACATTGACTTTAAACTACTAAAGCTGACTAAGTTCGTATAATTGTCTTGTTATCTAAATCTACTCCACAATATCTCATAGGAACATTACTAATGCTCTAAATTCTAAAACTTGATGTATCATCGCTGCACTTATTCACTTAATTAGTCCAAAATGAACATCCACATTGCACTAGCCACACAGAAAATGAGCTAAAAGAGGTCTTTAATTACCGCTAAAATCTCCACACAAAATTTATAGAAATCTGCTTTAATGCTTAATAATTATAAGCGCAATGATTATCATGATATTGCTTGTTGCTTCTGCCTGCTTGTGTGCTGTATTTGTAATACACATTATTTTATGTATTCAACATATTTTTTTTGTGCATTTATTATTTATTGCAAAAAAAAAAAAAACAGACGAAAAACGAAGCATAAAATGCGAAGAGATTGAAAAATCCAAAAGGTAGTCAAGCAGACAGGCAGGTAGGTAGGTAGGTAGGAATTGGTAATGTAAAGAGAAGTTTTTTTTTCGTTCCTGATAATGTGCTCTGTAAAAATTATGCGTTATCACGTTTTCTTTGAGAGCAACAAACGTTGTAAAAAAATTGTAAGGAAGTGTTGGGTGTGAGGTTTGAAAAGGCGCATTTTTATGGCTTAAGGGGCCGTTCACTTATTACGTTAAGCAAAAAAACGACTTTTTTCACCCCCCCCCCCCCCCCTTGTTACAATATGTTACAACTCACATGTTACATTTTGCTACAATTTTTCAAACCCCCCCTCCCCCCTAAAATGCGAACGTAATAAGTGAACGGCCCCTAATGACTTTTCACAAATTATGGAAAAATTAGAAATTGCGATTAAGTTTGGAAATATTAATTAAAGAGCAAACGAGAAGTTGCAGTTGCCGGGATTCGAACTCGTGACTCTATCGAAGCAAAAATGCGACTTTTGTATGAAATCTTTATACTTCACAAGAGGCAGTTTCTATAATTTTTGAAGACTTTACATGAAATTTATAAACTTCACAAGTGGAATTATCAAGATTCTATGGAAAGTCAGTTTGAAGGATTTATGCTTGTTCTTGGTGAACTTAGTTTCCAATTCTAATGGTTTTTATGTCTGATCCTTTACTAAGAATATGCAACTGATTAAATACGATCAAAAGCCAATTTGATAAGTTCTGCATCCTTATTCTATCCATTGTTTTTCCAATATCAACCAATTTGTAACCGAAATCCAGACGTACAGTCAGTCAAAGTGTGTTCAATGCTCTAAAAATGTGCATGGAAAGGAAAAGTCCGGAAATATTTTTAAATTCCTATACAAACATCAATCACTTTACATTTTTCTCTCACTAGCTACTTGTGCTTTATTTTATAGACTCTGGAAAATGTGAAAGAATCTGTTTTTTTTATGGACGTATATTTCAATTCAGAGATTATAGAGGAACAAAAATTTAAATTAGTGCACACTCGAGATTAATTTCGGACCGAAAATCTATTTCAACTGAACTATTCACTATTCATCAATTACTCTCATCCACATTAAAATTGATTTAACTTGTTTACATCTCTCAATTCTTCTCCTTTAGTGAATAAAACTTCAAAAAAAAAATATACAGCTATAACATGAATGGCATAATAATACCTTCTTCTTGTTTCACTCATTCATCTACAATCTACAAACACATGCACAGTATACATTAATATATATGTTATTCCATATGATGAGATTTTCGCTATTTGGAATTTGAAAAATGCCTTTAAAATTTGCCACTTGAAACGTCAATTTCACAATATTTTAATTAAATGTTTTGACTTGCTTCACTATATTTATAAATATTGCGATTTTTATCAACTTTTGCACAATTAATTTGATGAAAATTTACGGACGAGACAAAAGAAAATTTCTTTTTACATTTTCATGATCTTTTTTAACAGATATCTTTTGCACTTTGTATCGTTCGTATACTATGGAAGTCCATTTTTCATATTTCACTATTCTTATCAACTAAAAAGTCCTTTATAACGAAAAAAACTTAAAAGAAAATTAATTCGTAAGAACTCGAGTATAACTTTCTTATTATTTATTAGTAAATGTGATCCCCAAGTTTATGTATGCGTGCTGGTTTATGCATCGGCTAGCGACTTTTCAATCATTTATAGCCGTTACTCGCTCATTTACGCCCTCTAGGATTGGCATGTTGAACTATTTTTGACATCCATCAATCTCAAACTTCATTTTTGATGCATCGGGAATTGCATTTTATGTCTACAAACTTTATTTATTAATTTATTGCAGATTTCATTTTGTCACGTGTGCGAACATTTGAGTTTCCGTTAAATTGATTGATTTTGAATAATTCAGAACCATACAATTGTTTTAAAAATCAAAAATCTTTCTTAACTGAAAAACTTGACTAATGTTTCAATTATAGAACCTTTCAAATGTTCTTTATTTTTTAAAACTGTACAAATTCAAATGATTGAAAACCATACAAATTATAAAGAAATTCAAATAAAAAGTTTTCGTTAAAATTTTTCACTAGGCAAATAAATTAAATATAGACTCAATGCTACAAAAACCAGAACATAGATCATAACCATAACCGTCACTTCCATTTCCAAATGCCGAATATTCGAAATAAAGTCAGAAAACATACTTTTTGCTAGTTCACACCAAAATTTAATTTTATTCATTTTTCTGGCTTTTTGAAGCATAAGATTAATGATCTACAGCTAGCTATCCACAGATTATGAACGATTATTGTTACCTGGATTTCTCATTGTAAGTATTAACTCTTAATTTCCTCAAAATCTTACGAATTTCATAATCAAATGATGTAAACATGCTTATTCTAGAAAGCTTAAAAAGGAACCAAGAGAAGAATTGGCACAAATATACATTAAAGGAGCAATAATCAAGTCATTAGTTGCAATATTTGGAAAAATTGGTGGACAAACTGATTTTGAGTTACTCACATTCGACGAGGCACGAAGAAAAGGCATTTTAAGAGTTGCTGTTGACTTTGCAATAAAATTAAGAATTGCATTAACATTAATAGCTGAATTTCAAGGAATTCCATCAATATTTCAAGTTCACAACAGCAGCAGTCAACTTAATTCATTGATTGATACATTTATAGAATTTTAAGGATCATGGCAACAGTTAAGGAAATCGGAAAGGACACAATTATTTTTGTTTCCAAAGAAGATCATGCAGAAAAGAGTAAAATAGAACTACCACCATCAGAACCAGCACCAGGACTTTTGCTTCCCAGCGGTGAAATCAACTGGAACTGTCCATGCTTAGGAGGTAACTAGCTTTATGCCTTTAAAAATATATCATACTGGATCTTTAAAAATCGATATTTTAGGAATGGCAACTGGACCCTGCGGCGTTGAGTTTCGTGATGCATTCTCATGCTTCCATTACAGTGATGCCGAACCAAAAGGATCCGATTGTTATGATGCATTCAAGATAATGCAAGATTGTATGTCTCAATATCCAGCAGTATACAATCAAAATAATTCAGATCAGGACGAGGAAAGTGGAATACCTGGATTAAATAACCTTGATGATAATGACGAAGACGATGAGCTTGACGAGGTAGAGCGTGAGCATGCAGAAATCCATCAAAAATATGCAGACGTCGATCAGGACGAGTCGAAAGCAATAGCAGTTAATGGAAAGTAGGCAATAGAATGAGTTTATAGATTATATAAGAAATAAAAGATGTGAGTTTAAGGATCAACTTACCTGTGTGGATTGAATTAAATCCACGGATTAAAAAAAAATCAAAATTTGAGGATTAAGATTCAGGAATTAGAGTAGTCACAGTTCAATTTTATTTTTCAGCATCAATATTTCATAAAGGACATAAATAGACATGATTAATTATATTCAAGTATTTTCTTGTGATAGAACAGCAAGTAGCCTTCACTATTGAGAACACGATCAATCGAATATGGCGTCAAGCTTAAGTCGTCACATTTAATCCAGCAATTTTTTGTGTGTCGAACAAAACTAGTGTAATGTCCGACATCTATAGACTTGCCTTCATGATTGACGACCGCATAAAGTGAATACTTGGCTGATGCTCGATTTAAAGAATTTTCACTGTCACGAGACTTTGTGAGGAATGGTGTCAAGTCTAATTCGTCCGGAAATGCTACAAAATTGGATATTTTCTTCTTGTCATTCTAAAAATATTATCAAAAATTAAATCCAGCAATAAAACTTTAATTGTGTCAAATTTACCAAGCCAGTCTGTTCAAATCTCTTGAGATGGAATGAAGCAATGATTGGAAGTGTCTCAATGCTCAATTCCTTAGTAAACTCTCGTTCTGTATTGCACTTGCTGCATGTCAATTTAACACCTAAATGCTCGAGACGAGTAAATCTCTCCAAGCAATGAATTAATGATTTTGGCTGATTGCCAGTATCGAAAGACAAGTCTAATGACAAGTCCTTGAATGGCTCAAAAGTTGGAGATACGTGATGGCATGTAGTACATACTAAATCTGAGAGCAATTCGCCAGTGAATATTTCATCGATAATACAGTTACAAGGATCAGTTTGAGTGCCTTTTGAGCTATCGCGGAAGTGAGTATGGAGAAGATTAAGTATAGCTATAAAGAATTCATGTGAATCATGCTGCCGATATCTACAAAAGTAAAAATGTTGAATTATAAATTAACAAAGCAGGAATAGCTTAATAATTACCCAGCCAAGTGACTTGCATTCTTCCAAATTAAAACAAGTAAATCATGTAGAGAAATTGGGGTGGATTTGCCAGAATAAAACTCTTGAAAAATATTATTGATCTCACAGACCATACAGCTTGCTAGCTTGCAATTATGTCGATCAGAGAGGAAGTAATCTCTTAGAACTGGAGTGTGAATCAATACTTGAATAATACAGTTCATAAAGCATGTAGAGCCCAAATTAAACAGTCCACGAAGTCCCAGACGATTGTTTTCCTTAATTTCCTTCTTTGTGTGCTGCTTAAGGCAAGCAATCTCTAAGTCTGATGGAAATTGGAACCAAGGGAAATAATTTAAACTCTTTTTCATGTTTCTAGCAGCCTTAAATTGATTCCGTTCATTGATCTTAAGGAACTTTGTGTCGTAGATATAATCATTGCATAGAAAGCAGTATGTCATCCCGAACTCAAGGTTTACTCCTATATTATGCTTTTTTAACTTAAAATGCTCAATCAGATGAGCCTTACAGGCAAAGAAAATGCAATGAAGACATGAAAAGAGCTTCGATGTACTAGTCATGTGGCACACATAGCACTGACTTCTGAAATTAATTGAGAATTTAGCATAAAACTTTTTTTTATGTTGAATAAATTTGACAAAAGAACTTTTTTTTCTTACGATAATGCTCGCTTCTTGCGTCGCTCTCTTGTTGATGGACTTGAAAAATATGAATTAACCAATTGATACGCTCCTAATCCATAATTATTGTAATAATCTGTTGCATGTTCGCACATCTTAATTTAACTTTTTATTATTTTATTATTTCTTAATGTTCTGATCTGATTTGGTTGTTTCTCCCCTACAATTATTCTATGAGTCGATTCTCCCCTACTGGATCTTCTCAAGCGTCGTGCTTTGGCACATATGATCTTTAAAGGTCCAGATTGTAAATTAATGACTAGCAGATGATTCCTAGTTCCTCTTAAAATATTTTGTGACTGAAAAAAGTCGAGAAACTCTGACTGAAAAAATTCAAATTAATTTTAACAGTTGTAGAAAAAAATTTCAAAAAGATGTAGTCACATGTTTAACGGTTTCTATAAGATACTTCCAATTCCTTTATTTTGGCACAGGCACTTGAACCAGCAAAAATTTAACAATTTGGAACAATAGTTTGCTGATGGCATAACCAATTGCCGTTGTCCAGACTCCAATTAATAGCAAAACTTTCCGTCCATTAAAGTCCATAGCCGTTTTGATGATTAAAGCCTTGAAATTGTCATAAGTAAGCAGAAAAGGTTCATTACTTCCACTCCACAAATCATCAATGCACATAATCGTTAGAGTCCTTGAAAGGTTTGCAAAAAAATCTAAGGAACTTAAAGCAATTTTGAGACAGAAGCCGAGCAGAAAAGACACAACAGACAACATCAATGCATAAATTTCAATAATCTGAGACTTTTCGGAATTTGTATCAACTCGCTTCTCTTGAGCATCAATCATTTTCATCGGTTCATCTTCTTTGATAAAGCTCGTCTTTGAAGTTTTTCTCACAAAATCACCTGAAGACATCACATCGTTCTGCTTATTGCAATTTATCTTGTCTAATGTTCTCAAAATTGTCGAGTATTCGTGAAATAATTCCGATTTGTTGCAATACATACTGACTATGTGAATTTGAAGAGCGATGAATGAGATGAAAAGTGAAAACTTAGCAAAATTCTGATGAATTTTTCTCAAAGTTTATTGCAATCAGATTTTTTCAATGAATTGAAGTTTTATTTTTAAATCTTTATTAAATCAGGGTTGGAGCTAGGGACTTTTCTTTGAGGAATGGGGGTCTCGTGGGGTCATAAGGAAGTTCCAATGTCTAGATTCTATCCAAATCTGGAAGTACAAAGAATCATTCACCTATAAAAAGAATTAACAGACCTTTTTGAATTTTAAGGGGTATTCAACTACTCAAGATTGTGTGCATAATTTTCAAATCTTTTTTGACTGTTATCGATTCAAATATTTTTTGAACGTTATTTTTAAACTTTTAAAAGAACGAAGCAACTTTTCGAAAGAAATTGCATCCCACTTCTCACCATTATTATGTACCCTCCATTCCATTGCTCCCTAGCTACACCCTCGACACAAAAAAACAAAAAAAAAAATACTATACAGCAGATAACAGATGCATCAAATGCAAAAAGGTATAATATTTTAAAATAGAACTTTTTATTCAGTTTTGATGTACAGTAAAGTCAACAACACGTACAAATAATGAGAGTAACAAATCTTATCAAAATAATAACAATCTATACACTCTGTGGTGTATATGCAAGAGGTATGAATGAATTTAATTAATTTAAGTAGCGAGACAGGTTACCGAAGTGCAAAGTGTAGTATGTGATGTGTTCAATGCTGTTGGGATATCCAAAATTAATGAATTGAGCATAATCACGAGATTAAAGTGAAGTTTTGTGTATGGAATTTCAGCTGGATTAAAACGAGTCATCAGAGTATTAATCTGGATTTAAGATTAATCCATTGGATTTAAATCAGGATTAAAAATAAATCCCACGGTTAAAATTAATCTGAAGATTTAATATTATAAAGATACAAACAAGCACATCCAAGCTGCATTATAAGCACAACAATTGACACATAAATACCAAAAATATCCACAGTCAAATAATTAATGCATTAAAAACTTACAAAGTGTTAATTAAATTCCGATTCTGCCTTCATCAACAGCATTCATCTTTGACAACATTGATGACTCGAACGAGAAGACATCCAACATAATGAATTTTAAATATAGCCACAATTGCCTGCATAATGAATCAATTCGCAATTACATCGATGAATTCCGCTTAAAATATAATGAGATCCAGGACATAACTGATGACGACTTACTCTACTTTAAGCAGCACAGAGCACATGGAGAGAGTATTGCGCGAGTATGTGAATTAAAACGTAATAAGGCACGATCAGTTACAGACTATATTCATTTGATTGCTGATGCTTGTGTAAAAAATGAGAATATAAGGAAGAAATTTACTTTAAATACCTTATTGATGCTGGAATTTGAACTAGATTTCGTATGCAGTCTCAGCGAGAGTGTTTTTACGACTATTTACAAAAATCACGTGTCGACATGCATTGATGAAAAAATGGGACTGCTTGATAAGTGCCGAGAAAATTCATTTAACGTCTTATTTTTTGATAAGCGACCTGAACAAGTGCCGTGGATTCAATTAATTAATGGAGCTATATGCAAGTGAGTTTATCAGTTTCGCATCTCTTTTTGTGCTTTTTGTCTCGTTGGGGCTCGTTTATTTATTACGTTACACAATAAAACGAAGGGGAGATTAAGTTGAAAGCCTGTTCCTTAAAAAAAATCTTATGAACAGCCCCAGTTGAAATTTTCTATCCCCAAGTTCCTAATTAGACGTAACTTATAAATAAACCATTAAAACCCACTCTTTAATATTAAATCTTGTAGCTTTGACTATAACACGATGAAAAATTGTGCTGTGAAACCTTTGGAATCGTGTAATGGTGCTTCAGAAGCATTGAGTTATCTGTTGGATGTCATCAAGCGGAACTCTTTGTGCTTCAAAAGGAAAAATTTGGCAGACATCATTGAGAACTCTAGCGAAGATGCTAGTAGCATTGTGGATTGAATAAAAGCATTATTTATGCCAGTAACTGATTCTTCTTCGTCTTTGTCATATTTAATTTTTAATAACGTCTCTTTTGTTCACAGTCTACTACAGTCTATTATTAATATTAAAGATTTTGAATGAAATAATATTGAAACAGTCTTGTGTGACATGATGCGACACTTTGGATTTGTTTATTTTTATGTCGTTGGAGCGTTAGGAATTAGAAAAGTTTCAAAATTAAAGGATGAAATTTGATTCGACGTGTTTTAAAACCTCCAAATTATTGAAAATTAAAAACCTTACAAATTGTTTCTAAAACCTCACAAATATTCTTCTTCTTCTTAATTAACTTTATTATGGTCCATCAGCTTATTGCTATTTAAAGACCGTTCACAATTCCAGGTAGTTTAATTTACAAATTTACATAAAGAACAATCAATAAAATCCAGTCAACTCCAAATTGTTGACAGAAAACATGCCCGCGATAAGTCAAAACAACAAAAAACCATCGCTAGGCAAAAAATTCCATCTTCAGTTGTCGATGATCCAGATCCCTTGACAGTCCTTCTTGTAATTCAACTTGTGATATTCCAAAAAGATTCAAATTTTTGTTATGTCTCGATTGTGATCTGTCAATGTAATTAATATGTTCTGCTGTATTCCGAGATGATCGATTCCTGTTTGTCAATGTTGATATCCAGTCAGCAACAATTGATTGATAGAACTTGCCCGCGATATATGGGGAAACACACAAAACCCATCGCGAGACAAATTCTCCTCACAATTGACGATGATCCGTTGTATTCCAATAATATTCAATGTCTAGGTTATGGCAATGATAGAACCTTCTTGTCCACGATTGTTGGTAAAACACAAAAAACCCACTTGAAACAATTGATTCTCCTCACAACTGCCGCCGATCGTGATCTGTCAATGTAATTAAATGTTCTTTGGTATTCCAATGATGATCAATTTCGTTTTATCTAGATTATGTGCAAAATTTGCACATTTTTTTCCAATTTCAATTTATACTCAAAATTTAATTAAATCGCGACTTTACTGAGTTTTCTCCTTGGCATCTTTGTTCTTTGTTACTTTGAAGACAGTTCCCGTAGGTTTGTGACTTATTCCTACGCGTAATTAATTAATTTTGAAGTATTGCACAACTCCACAACCTCCTCATTCGGAGGTTGGGAGAAAATTTGACCTCACAATGTAATTAATATGTTCTGCTGTATTCCGAGATGATCGATTCCTGTTTTTCAATGTTGATATCCAGTCAGCACCAATTGATTGATAGAACTTGCCCGCGATATATGGGGAAACACACAAAACCCATCGCGAGACAAATTCTCCTCACAATTGACGATGATCCGTTGTATTCCAATAATATTCAATGTCTAGGTTATGGCAATGATAGAACCTTCTTGTCCACGATTGTTGGTAAAATCCAGCCATTTCCAAATTTGTTCTTTTTCGGAAGTTTTGATACTTAGACTGCTTAATGTACGAGATCAAGCCATAATTGGGCATTTGGGCAACGTTGGATTAAGGAACGGGTCAGGAACTTGAAGTGTAGCGGGAGAAATAGGAACGAGAGCTACAAGATTACCCACGAATGGAATATTGATAGAACGGACCTGAAAAGTATCACGTAACGCCTACAGAAGATCGAAACGAGAGCCTTAGTTTATTTGAAACCTAGATATGAAGATTAAAAGTTTGATCCTACATAATACTAATTTATATGTATACAAATACAAAAGTGTAAAATGTGAATTATTTCCGGACAGTATGTCGTCAATAAATGCAATAAAACACAAAAAACCCACTTGAAACAATTGATTCTCCTCACAACTGCCGCCGATCGTGATCTGTCAATGTAATTAAATGTTCTTTGGTATTCCAATGATGATCAATTTCGTTTTATCTAGATTATGTGCAAAATTTGCACATTTTTTTCCAATTTCAATTTATACTCAAAATTTAATTAAATCGCGACTTTACTGAGTTTTCTCCTTGGCATCTTTGTTCTTTGTTACTTTGAAGACAGTTCCCGTAGGTTTGTAACTTATTCCTACGCGTAATTAATTAATTTTGAAGTATTGCACAACTCCACAACCTCCTCATTCGGAGGTTGGGAGAAAATTTGACCTCACAATGTAATTAATATGTTCTGCTGTATTCCGAGATGATCGATTCCTGTTTTTCAATGTTGATATCCAGTCAGCACCAATTGATTGATAGAACTTGCCCGCGATATATGGGGAAACACACAAAACCCATCGTGAGACAAATTCTCCTCACAATTGACGATAATCCGTTGTATTCCAATAATATTCAATATGTCTAGGTAATGGTTATGATAGAACCTTCTTGTCCACGATTGTTGGTAAAACACAAAAAACCCACGTGAAACAATTGATTCTCCTCACAACTGCCGCCGATCGTGATTTGTCAATGTAATTAAATGTTCGTTGGTATTCCGATGATGATCAATTCCGTTTTATCTAGGTTATGTGCAAAATTTGCACATTTTTTTTTTCCAATTTCAATTTATATCCAAAATTTAATTAAATCGCGACTTTGCTGAGTTTTCTCCTTGGTATCTTTGTTCTTTGTTACTTTGAAGACAGTTCCCGTAGGTTTGTGACTTATTCCTGCGCGTAATTAATTAATTTTGAAGTATTGCACAATTCCACAACCTCCTCATTCGGAGGTTGGGAGAAAAACTCACCATACAACAGATATCAATAGACACTTATTTTGAAATTGAATGGTGCTAAAGCACTTAAAAATCATGAGTATCACTCAAAAAAGCCCATACAGAATTAATTGCACATCCAAAATCAAAAAATCACTAATTGAATTAAAATAAATTGCATGCACAGAACAAAATTCACAAACAAAATAATTCTAACGAGCTTAATTAGCGAATGCTTAATTAAATGAACTGAATTTGCTCCAATTTCATGTTTATAATCCCGTCTGCTGCTTTTTCAGGAGTATTTCACGCAAAATAATCTAATTCAATTAAATTTTTGATTTTTACTTCCCCAAATATATCCGCGGATCATCAATCATCGCACCATAAGTTTGATTTTATGTAAATTAGATATCATGATTCTATCGTTAATCGCAGAATGGCTGGAAGTAAAAAAGTCTAGAATTAAATTATATTTTTTTTTGTTTTAGTCAATAAAGACGAAATCCTAGCTCATAAAAAATGGCAATTAACAAACAAAAGTGATAAATAATGAGCTGGATATAAATACATAATAATCATATCTGTAACAGACAGTAAACAAAGCTCTTGACAGTGAGAAATAATCAATAAGTGTATAAATATTATAATAAAAACTGATAGCATTCAAAAAACGATTGCTTTAAGCACGAAAAAAAGGAAATAACTTATGATATTGTTGAGCTTTCTGGGGGCTTTGCACAGTATAAGCTTGTGTTATTTTTAGTATGTCCACGTCCAAATGATTGAATCTTTTGTCGTTTTGGCGAAGAAGAAGGTAGAGCATCTTTATGGCGTGCCTTGACATGCTTATCTCTGTCACCACGTTGACGAAAAGCTTTATTACAATTTTCAACATGACAAGCATAAGGACGCTCTCCTGTATGAATTCGCTCATGATTTTTCAATGCATCAGCACGATAAAAGCGCTTTCCACAATCTTCACAGCCATATCGACGCTCCCCACGATGAATTAAACGGTGCTGATAGTAAACTGATCCTGTTAAGAATCGCTTGCCACATATTGTGCTGTTATCAAAGAAGTTCTATTAAAATCATCAAATAAATCCATTGTATCAATACTTACCATAAGAAAGGACGTTCGCCAGTATGACATTTTCGTATATGATCATTTAAATCAGGACGTATTGTGAAACGTCGACCACATCCTTCATGTGGACAAACAAAAGGCTTGATGCCTTGATGAAAACGTAGATGTTGCCACAAATGAGATGATTGTGTATATGATTTTCCACAAACTTCACATAAATATTGACGAGGTCGTGTTGACGTTTGATGACCACCGCCTTTACGCACAGCATTCGGTGAATTTTGTGTACGAACTGATGTTTCAGGCACTGCCGTTTCCCTCATTTTACTCAAATGTTTTTCCTGTAAATGTGTGACTAGTGCTGCTGCATTATCGTACGTTGTCATGCAAAATTCACAGACAAAAAGTAATTGATTTGTACGATGATCCATTCGAGGATAGAAATGAAAGGATTTATGACTGAAGCAGAAGCAAAAAGTATTAATCTATGGGAAAAATATGCAGCGAGATTAAATTGTATTACCGATGAAGGATTAATTGTTCAATGCCGCCAAATCTTTCATCACAAACATTACAGATCCATAAGCATGGAATATGTTTCATCGAGTCACGATAATCACGATAATTCCAGCATTCTTCATGTCTGTGGATCAAAATGTCTTTAAACGATAACATTTTCAAATCACATGTCTGACAGCTGAAATAACATGAGGGCTCATGCTTTGATATATGATGTAGCAATGATTTTTCGTTTGCAAAAACAGAATCACAAAACTCGCAATGATAAAGCTTAGAAACATAAATCATTCGAACGAAATCTTTAACTGGAACTTCATTCTTTGAATCTTTGGCAATTCCAGTCTCTTCTGGGCTCAATTTTAACTTCTTCTTTGGCGGCTCGCCATCATTTTCCTTGGAGCATTGTCGAGATTCAGCACAGCTGAATGTTTGATGTAAATTGTCCAATGTCGTCAAATGATTATCAAATAAATGCTTCCAGACTTTTTGTTCTGTTATCAAGACTTCGCCGCAAAAGATGCACAGTGTGACTGAATGTAAGGCATTTGCTGGATGCGATTGAGTTAAAATCTCTCCAATATGCTTATCATAATGACGATATAATCCCGATTCATGAACAAACTTACGATTGCACATAAAGCATTCGTGATTCGATTGTTTTGCTTTTTTTTCTTTGGACTGTCCAGCAGTTGCAGAGAATCCATGTAATATCTTTTGTAACAATTTATTATTCTGATCTAATATTAAGCTTGCATGTCGTTGGACTTTTTCGAAATCACTTTCAACTGGTTGTTCCTGTACGAATTCTTCAATTAATGTTTTATCTTCGTTATATTTGCATACGTGAAGCTCAAACGAATCAGTCGTAAAGACATCATCGCAGTAAGTGCATTGAACGAAATTGACTCTTTCGGATTTGCGAGCTGGAATTGATATAAAATTGGTGAAATATTAGAGCTGTAATTTGAGAATTACTGTTGCTGATCAAAACTTAAGATTCAGATTACTGGATCTCATATTTTCTATTCTGGATCTTATTTTTCTCAAAAACTTACTCGCAATTAAAATTGCGCTCGAAACATTTTCATTAAGCTCCGTAAATTGATTAAAAACCTTATCATCGTTGAAAAGCAGCTCCTCAAAGTATTTTAAGTCCAATTGATCCTCATCGTCTGATAAACCATAATTCGTAAGATTTAAATTATTTTCAAAAAGTACATCGAAATTTTCCGACATAAATGGATCATCCGACGATAATTCCATGCTTATTAACTTAATTTAAGCTTAATATATCACAAAAAACTTAATTAATTAATTAAATTAACAGAGAAGACATTTATACCTCTTGTCACTTGAAAACTCAAACGAAAATGAGAAAACCCGTTGAAAATCCGATTATAACGGTTTTTTGAATTTTCAAACATATTTTAACCGTTAGAAATTCAATATTTTTAAACCATTAAGTGGACATTCTGCTTTGAAAATGACAATTTAATGGCTGTGCATAAGATTGATATTTCCACTTTACTCCCAATATCTTTAATAACTTGAAAAAACTTACAAAATCTATCTTAAAACAATTATAAATTGCTACTTAAAAATGAAGATGTAGCAATTAGATACAGATCCTTGATAAGCTCAATTATCTTGTTATGATACAACTTCTCGTAAAACTTTTGTTCATGATGCTTAAAAGCTCTTTGAGGTTCACCAAACTTCTTCTTTTTTGTTTACAGGATATTTTACAAATTATTAGGCTTCTCGTCTACCAAACTATGATGATAACAATAATGAATTTATAATTACTAATTTCGGTTGCTTCTTATTCTTATTGTTTTAGACAGTTTTGTCTTTGTGGCTTAATGAGAATTTTCCATTTTTTTGCAGAACTATTTAAACATTTTTGTGGCTGTTCATGAGTTGGGTGCCACAATAAGCTTACCCATAAAATATATTAGCTTTCTTTTTATATCTCATTATTGATCATCTAAAAATAGACAGCACACCTTAGAAATATCAAAAGAATTTTTATGTCCATGTAATGATCTTTATCAGTCCAATAACGTTAAAAGACATCAATCATTCTTTCCTTTTCAGTAAATTAAATCCTTTCTCCATCGAAATTTCAACGTCATGATGAAAATAAAATTTCATTCATGTGGAAAACGTGTTCAATTCTGTTGGGCTACCTTGAAAAAATATTTTGATATCCTGCATATCTGCAAAAAATTCATTAAATGAAATAAAATTGATCAACTAAAAGACTAAACAGAAGAAGAAAGGAAATCAATTTGAATCGACTAATGTTTTGGAATTGTCTTCAATATTCTAGACAAACAAAAGGAAATTACCTGTTTTATGCCAAACTCAAATTTCATCCATTTCTATTGTTTGCTACAACAATATTAACTTATCCCATATCCATATAAGTCTACTGCTCTTTTTATACAGCCATTCAAAAATCGACTATGAGTTGTAAAACTTTTGTAGATTTTGACGATGCTAAAAAGGGGTCTACAGTGTCTGTCCACTCCCAATTGCTCTTTTCAAACATTTTCAATATAAAACTGATAAACATTTACATTTAATTTCGGAAGTCGACGAAGAAGTTTCAGCTTTATTGGATTCTCGCATTTTGCTGATTAACTGTTCATTCATTCGTTCACCTTTTATCTACTTTTATCATGCTAGAAGCTTCTTATTAGATAAGTTTCTAATCAAACTATGTCATGATCGTTGATGAAGACCTTCATTGAATCAAGTGTGTGCTTTACCTTACTTAAAGCTAATGAGATGAAAATAACTTTTTGAATTCTGCTTAGACTGGAATTTCTTGTGTATACATAGGAAATCAAGCGACAGTCTGTGTTGATGAATTAAAGTTCTAGAATCGGATCAAATCAAGATCAGATCGAAATGTAATGAATTGAAATAAGGATTAGATTAGATCAAATTGAAAATTGATTCAATTGGATCAAAACATTGATTGATCAAATTTAATCAAATTCAAACAAGTTCTAATCTATTTGTCTTCCTTAAAACTAGCTTTAGCCAGGTTCATTCAGGGGTTCATTATAGCTGTAAATGCACAATATCCAGGATCTCATCGTAATTAATTTTCACAACAACAAAATCAACTCAATTAGGTAAATTACTGTAAAAAAATGAAAATTCATTCAAAATAAAGGAAAAAATTCATTAAAATTTTTTTACCAATGCTTTTCATTTATTTTTATTTCATTTTTCACGTTTATGGCATTTTCCAATTTTTCCTTCTATGTTGTATTATTTTATCATGTTAATTGTTTACATTTTCAGCACGTTCATCAGAAAAAATAAATATTTTTTTCATTTTAAGTACATTTTCTCGTTTAATTAAAATGAAATTTAATTATGGCAATATTATCCTCACGCACATGCACATGGAAAATCAACAGAATAACCAATGTTATGCTGCAATGTGCTCGTTTTCTACTTTAATTCATTTCTCCATTACATTTTGTTTAAAAAAGGAATTAAATTGAACGAGATTGAATGTTTGTGTAATGTGAATGAGTATCTGCATATGAAATGTGGACTACAACATAACATTGTATTTCAATCTATTGTTAAAAAGTGAAAATCTCTCATCATCATCTTGTTTTTTCATTTCGCAATGCAAATTTTAGTATTTTTCATTTTATTTGTATCCTTGATGCTCATTAAACATTGATTTAAAATGTTTTAAATTTTTTTTCAAACTTCTTTTCAATTAAAAATAAAAATTCATATAAATATAATAATATCTGCATTAATATTTACTTGCGTACAGAGTAATACGAATGTGAATAAACTAAATATCATTTATAGTCTGTAAACGTCCATAAATTATATCAAATTCTTCATATTTCTAAAATTACTTTACTAGATTGTAAAATTATATTTTGGAGTTGTTTTGGGTTTACAACATGCATTGACTTATTGGTTTGTTGTTTTAAAGACTGTTCCTCGATTAAAAACTTTATTTATGATTTTTTAATGCTTCTGACATTTACTTTTCAGTGATAAAATCATAAAAATTAAAAATTGACCTTAAGACTTCCTTTTAAGTTCATTAGCAGGACTTGTATGTCTGTAACTTAAGATTGTTTAAATTTCATGATATTGCTTTGTCCTTTCTATGACTTTACAAACGATTATGATGGAGGAAACAAAATAAATATTATTTATGACCTTTTATTTAAAAGAGTCAGTAGTATTGTTGAACAAATAAGTTTATGCAAAGTATAGCTTGTCTTTAACATGATTTATATGACATACACATTGGAAAATGTTTAAAATTAATTTCCGTGACTAATCAACAAAAAGTAAAACAAAGTCAATATTCGTAAAAAAGCAAATGCATTCAATTTAATTACTTGGGAGTAGCACTTGAGTGGATATGATAAAGCTTGATATACCTTATGGACGTTTACATAATTGAATTTTTTTTCTCTCTTTTGTTTCTTACACAACTAATCATTAATAATGGAAAGCATTTAACATTAACAAATTTTTGTATTTTAGACAGAATTAAAAAAAATATGAGGGGTTGTTCACGTGAAATCGGAGTTCTGACACAGAGTTTGTCTTTAAATGTCATTCATCCTCAAAATCTTGACGTCATTTGTGAACGATCCCCAATAAAAGGTCTGATTTGGGAGTTTAATGAAATCAAATATAAAGCAAGTAAAATAACAACTGCCTGATTTCAAACTTATTACCTCATCAGATGCTTTACGGATTCGTGGCAATGTAAGTTCATATAAATTTCTTGTTATCATTTCCATTTCCCAGTCTATTCCTCGTTTATTGTTATGTATGAACGAGTAAAAAATTGGGAAATAGGAACGGTTAATTGACTCGATTAATGAACAATACACAAATTATCTACATTTCCATCACAATTTACTTCCGTTTTGTTCTTTACTTTTTCTTTCGATTCATTCACATCTGGCACTTCCGTATCGTCATATTAAATAAACTTTTTGTCTTCTTCTTCCTACTTTATTTTTATTATACCCAAAAATAAAAAGGGAATAAATTGAAAATAAAAAAAGTTTTTATGTATTTTGCATTCTGAATAAGCGCGCTCGTGTGAAAAATAATTCTTTTTTTTTATTTTATTTATTTTTGTTTCTGTTATATCGTCTCCCTCGGACATGCATTTCTCCTTTTTATGCTCGCACTTTTTGAGATATAGTTTGATATTGGACCCGCTTATATAGCTTGTCAAACCCGGTTGGTAAAGGCTCTATTTGGAAGTTGGTTATCTAGCTAGTTATCGTGACAATTAAATGCCTTGTCAACAAACTAGGAAGTTTATTAAAATGGCAGGCTTGTTAAAACAGCTGCTGATATCTTGGCATCTTTAGCAAATCTACAAAAGATAATGCTAGATTGATCTACATCTAAACTGAATCTACCAGAATCTACAAGTAGAAGATTTTTTCAAGTCTAGATGAAGACAGATTCAACAAAAGATCAATGTCAGATTTTAACTGATCCCAACAATTTGTCAGAATGCAGCACTGCTTGTCATAAGCAAATAGAGCTCAAAATCGATAAAATTCAAAAGAAATCAGCCATTTTCTGTTTCTTTGGCTCTATGTCTAATTTTGTCACAAAACTCACTTTGAGACTTCACGTTCATGAAGAACAAGTTAATACTCCTCCTTATTATCCATCAAACTCGGAAATAAATTCCTTAATTCATCTCACGAATGCTCCATTTCCAATAAACAGACAACAATTGTAAACTTTTCTATCTGTTATCATCTCAAAAAAAATTTATAGCATTCTTCTGTTTATCAACGAAAAAAAAAAAAATTGCACAACTTTATTTAATGCCATAAGTCTATTAATCTACATTTACAAATATCCTTGACCATTTTTATTTGCCATGAACGTGCAAATAAATTTCCAAAACAGTCAACTTTTGATATTTTTTTTCTTCTATATTTCCCATTATAATCATCTTTATTTTGGGGAGACATTGACAATGTCATTGACTAAGCACTTTAAGTTTTTTGTTTGTTGTAAGTTCAGTAATGCAAACAGAGAACTTTGTGTGATGTGGAAAATTTGGCGCCCCTCTTTAACAAAATTTCCAACGCTTCAAAAACTTTCCGTTGAAAGCTTTTAGAGAGCTTTTTTTGGAGTTGACTAGAAAAAAAAATTATGAAAAAGCTGTCGAAAAACTTTCTCCATCCTTCTGATTATTTTATAGATTCTTGTTGATCTTAATATAAATAAATATTGTTGATGGAATAGCTTTTTACTTTTTAATTCTAGCTTTAATTCTATTTTAATTAAAATTCAATCAATCTTTTGTCAAAAGCTTTTAAAGAATTCTCTATTTGCAGTACTGTGCCTTCTTTTTTTTTGTCTACTAATTCTTATTAATTATTTACATGTAATCCAAAGCTCTATACAATGAACGTTTGGTATGCTTGTACCTACATTGATGCTTTTATTTTTTACAACATAAAGCTTTTGATAAATTATTTCCCCATATCATCCTACATAACCCCCTTTTGATGGCATTCAACAGTACACATTTAATACTTTTATGTTTATTTTCCATCCATTAAAATCTTCTTCTTTTTTTAGATTAGTTTGATGAATGTAAGTTTCCCCATTTTAATGTCATGTAAACCTAAATATCAATTAATTAAATTTACATTTTATAATTAAGTCTCGTCTTGCTTTCCCCCGGTACCCATATGTATAATATGTGACTAGTTCTACAATTCATCTTTTTTTTCTTCTCTGTCCCTCGATTATCAACGAGAGGAGAATCAACGACATGTTTATGTCCTAATGTATAAGAAAAAAAAATTACATAGACAATAATTTTCCTTTTTTTTTAATTTATTAATATAATTATTCTTTTATCTCCATCATACGTGTTACTGTTCTCATGTATAAAATTCCCATTTATGTATATTTTTTTAATCATCTATAATTTATCATGTCCAGTGTTAATGAAGTTTAGTACATCGAGTACTTATTCTATAAAGCTTCTAAATTAATAAAAGGACATTTATGTTTAATTTTAACCTTAAAGGTGGTTCTTTACACATATTTTCTTTAATGACTTCCTCACTATGTATGTGTGTATATAAAAAAATGTAATGGTTTTTTTTTGTGCTATCACTCCATTAATAATTCAATTATTTCTCTTCATTGCCTTTGGCTGCTCATCATATATCTAATAATATGGACATAGCATATTTTTTTATACCTCGCATGTTATTAAAGAAAATCGTATTAGAAAAAGGCTAGAGTGCTGGAGAATGAAAATGTTTGTATTTCATAAAAAATTATTTTTCTTTCCATTAAACGAGTTGAACCTTTCTTTTATGCTTAAAAAAATATTGTGGCAAGAATTGATTAATTTGAAGTGAAGGCAAATGTTAAGAATTGGCTTTGATACGGATGTATTCTTAGAGATTCATGTTGGACTTAAATTGAAAGAAAAGACACAAATTTTAAATGCTGTCACCAAGACATAGAATCAGTGGTATTCATAAAACCTAAATTATCAGTCAATTGACATGGTTTTAACTATATTAAAGTTACGGAACTGATCAAAAGTAATCAAAATTTTTCAAAAATAATCAAAATTGATTCAAAATAGATCATGCATAATCAAAAATGATCAGAAGTAAGATATCAACTTTCCTACCCTTGATTATAGCAAGAGGAAACCAACATGATGAGAAAATATTAAGCTAGAAAATTCCAAATAATTTCTCAACCATTTCTTGTTAACTTCTCAGTGATTTTCAATCGAAATTTTGGCGGGAAGTCTCAAGAACTTAGTTCCAACCAAAAAATTTTGCCCATCATTTTGATTTCCCTTTAATATAAACCATGGATAAGATGCCTTACTTTTAAAAGAAGCTGCACCAGTTAAGTCCAATCTCCTAGCCAAGTTCGTTGTGTACACACCCTCAAATCTACTAAACCTCAGGCCTGCAATACAACTATTCGTCAAATAACTATAAATTCAACAAAAAAAATCTTCTCTAAAAACTCCACAAAAGCAACTCAATTTTCATTCCCAAGCATCTCCATCCCATTTTTAATCAGACGCAAAAGTTTTGATAAAAAGATGAAAAGTCGTCATGTAATCAAATGAATAGATAGTGAATGATGATCATTAAAACTGTATCACTCCTATGTCATCTTATGCTCATGAGGCATCATTGGATCTTGATGTTGAATTACAGCTAGTATCACCATTTTGTGTTGTTGTTGTTGTATTGGCACCATTAACATTACTATTACAAGTTGAATTTACACCTTTATTACCTACGTGATTTTTATTCTGAAGTCCTCTCTCGAAACCCTCAACGAGAGTCTCAATTACAAACTTTATTGTGATTTTATAAATTCCTTCAACATTCTCTGTGTAACGGTCACCTAATGTATCTGAAACAGCTTTTAAAAAAGGCTTTTCGATTTTCTGTTGAAGTTGAGTTTGCAAGTTGTTTTCATGTTGATGTAGTTGTTGGATGGATACATGTTGAACAGAAAGGAAAAGAAAGAAAAGAGATTAAAATTATTTTTTATTATCATTCCTTACATTCTTGCTCATGGGATGAATTATTATATTTTTTTATGGTGGCAAAGCGTGTGTTCTGCCTGAAGAGCGAAAATTATCGACTTTTATGACTTTTGGATGTAGGATGTACTCATTTATAGTAGCTGTTACGCAATATAATGACCAAGTTTTGAAGGGCAAATTTCTATTTTTAAAATCTGTGTGCTGTATTTTTTTTGGTTCAAGTCTGCTGACCTAAACGATAATAAAAAGATATCTTGTGCTGCAAAATATTAAATTAATTTTGAGTCAGCTGGTGTCAATGAGATAATCAAAGACAAATTAAATTCTCAATATGGGATACACTAAATTAAAGAAAAGTTTTAGCAGCAGAAGTGTAGCTATAGAGTAAGAAGATAGTTTGGTTCCATCCAGAGGATAATGTGCCCTATAGCAGAATTGTGTGCATTTTTAAATTAAATAAAAAAACACATTTTCTGACCAAAGAGCTTCCTAACAAATTCCAAGTATCCATTCATTAAATTTCTTACTTCTTTTTGTTGTCCAATGTACACAGCTTTCTCTCTTTCTTATTACACAATTTTATTTTTTGCTACAAATTAGATTCACTTGTGTGAGCGTTCTTCTTTGATTTGTAATGGAGCATTGAAGTGATTCATTGACATGGATTTTAATTAAAATCTGTATTTGAAATATATCTTATAGCTGTGTTTGAAATATATTCAAGGAAGGACTTAATTTGGTGGCAAGGTTATGGCTAGAGCGCATTGATAATAATTCAGGGCACAGTTCCAAGGACTATGCTATGATACCTTTCTTAATATCAGGCTATGACATTGTTTTCTTTAATTTACTTACGATTTCTCAGATATATCTCGGATTCTTGGATCAAACATTGAAATGTTGTTTTAAGTTTGATTCGAATTGATATTAAGTTTGACTGTCATTTTACTAACCTAATACAATTTGAGGAGCGGACAAAACATCTCGAATTTCATCAACTTCTTCAAAATTCCAGCTAAAGAATTGTCAGATCCAAATTTACATTTTTTCTTTAAATAATTTGAAAATTGATATCTGTGGTTTGTGTGGGTGGACAGGTAAATACAGGAATGAATCCAAATCTTCAATACATAATTTCCTATCTTCGTGATTTACGGCTGTTTCTTAAATTTGTATATTTGACTTTGCATTTTCATGAATGAAAATCGGATGTAAATAGATTTGGAACTCATTTACATATTTCAATTATGTTTTCAGAATTAGATTATGCTGTCTCAAATGAAGGGTGTTTTGGACCTTTGTCCATTTTTGTATCTTTGCGCTTTATAAACTTTTGTGATCAATAAAATAGATGAATCATAATTAATTTTAATACAGAAACATCAAACATATAGAAAATGTCGTTGGCTGTCAAAATGTCACACAAAATGAAATATTATTGAGGACATGATTTCCCTAGAAAAATCATTTCAAAATCTCATGAAATTTCACGAGACATTTCGATATTCTTCAATGACACATCAAATTATATAGTCCTCACGAATGAGCGGTGACGATTACATTCCGAAATTCCAATCTTCATGGCTTGTCGCGTGGGAAGTTGAATCAGCTTATTGAAAGTTCCACTTACGTGTGATGAAAAAGTAATTTTCGTAGTTAATGATCTTCATATCGAAACTGTGTCAAGAATGAGAAACTTTTATTTTCTGTATGATTAAGTAACATTTTTCCATCAATTGAATTTTATCGCCAAACTTTCTTCCAATTTAAGGTTGACAAAAGTATGTTGAACTTTACTGATTTACAGGAAAATCTGGAAATTTTCTTTTTAATTCGAACTTGATTTTTATGTTTTAAGAGATTGACACGAGTTTAAGGATCATTCAGTTGAAGAACAAGTTTGTACCCACACGTGGATATAAATAAGCTCAAGGAGCAGTAAATAACCTTTTTGAAATCAGTTGAGATTAGCACTTGAGCACGTGCCATAGTTTGATGAGCAAGAAAATAAACATTTTGAGAGTCATCTCGTGACTTGAGATTAGCTTTAAGAGAATTTAAATTAAAATCTTCAATTTCATTATTTCGTTCTTGAGTTATTTTCTTATATAGACTAGATTCTTACTTGCCAATAATTTGATGACTCTTAAAAAGCTCAAACTAGAGCAGAACTTCTGAACTGAATTAGTTTTACTATTCAATCACGTAGAAGCCAAACGCAAGGACTAGAATGACCATATAAAGCTACTAAAAGTCAACAGTAAATCAACTTTTTGTTCCAATTTCTTCATTCAATCATAAAATCAAGCTCACAGCTAGATCTCACCGTAAATGAAAAGTGTCTTTGTGAAAAGGATATCCACATTAATGATTAGTAGCTTCACTACTCATATATACAGCACCAAAGTCCCACTTATTTTCTATTACGTTTCAATGAGCTGTATAGCATACAATAATAAAATCAGTAACATGAAATTTTATGACAGCAGAATCGTAAAAACAGTAATTTAGTTAACCCCAACCAATAGACGCTAAAGTTGACTTACATGAAATCTCATTTCATTCTCATCCTCTATTTATCTGTATCATACTATTGTAAATGTTATCAAAATACTTGTCGTGTGAAAGGAAGGGAAGAAAATTGTCATTCAATTGTTATTTTCATGCTACATTATATTCATTCATTTCATGAATGTCAATACACTTACTCATAATTTAACATCATTAATGTTAATGATTTTTATTTTGAGTTCAGCAAAACAACAAAGTTTCACAATAACAATAACAATGATAATCATGAATTCAATTTGAATGATTAAGGAATGTTTATCTTTTGTGAAATTTAAATTTCGCGCTGATAATAAAATTCAATGTTGGAGTCTTGACCTGATTTCGATGTGGAACAATAGAGGGAGGAATTTTAAATGTCCAGAAAATGCTAAACTGGATTATGATTGATGGCATTTTCTGTTGATTTGCTTTTTTTTTTGAAAGACTGAAATGATAAATTGACTAAGGTGTGTTCTGAGGCTGTATATGGAGGGATGTGGAAGGTTAGTGGTCTAAAGTTTGGTTTAATAACTTTTTATAACTTAGGCAAAGCTATAGTTGTGCAGCAATAATCAACCGATTTTGATTCAACTAAATTCTAAACTAGGTTTCAACTAGTCAACCAATTAACTTCAACTAGTCAATTTAAAAACGTTTTAAATGAGACGCTCCTTTAATACAATTTCCAACTTATCATTTATTCTATTCATAACCTGAAAGCTTTTCAATTAACATTTCCAGAAATTCGATTACGAACAATGTTGTTGCCATTTCTTGTTGTTCATCAACATAATAAAAATTAATTTATTTTTAATACGATAAACACTTCAACAATTAAGCAGTATGAATAAAGCGATATTTCTGTTTTTTTTAAGGTTTGTGACTTCTTCTAATTTTGCTTTTGATACACTAAATTTGATAAAACTTCTTTTGATGAATTTTATGTTTTGAAAAAGGAATAGTCGTGCACATTAAAAGCTGTTCTTAATTATAATTAATGTGAATTAATGAAATTTTTACGTCGTAAAACGTTTTCGTGCTCATTTTTTGTAACATCGCATTTTATTGGTTTGCTTTCGTGTCATTTAAGCATGTCAAAATGATATTGATGGAGAAAAATATTTATATTCATATCCATTTTCGATATATAAGCTACATGACATGCATGATTTCAACATTCCCACCTTTGTATGTAGGAGGAGGTCACTCCTTCTCATATTTTCCGTTTATTGATCTCTTTTTTAAATAACAAATCCATCCTCGTCCAAGACAGACTCGTGTCGAAAAAATTTCCCATTTGATGATTACTTACATGATTTGTTGGTAAACAAATCAGCAAATCTTCTCATTTTATGTAAAATCTATGTCCGAAAGAAAAGAATTACCCCTCATTACTAAAAATAAACACATTCCATCCTCATGTTCCAAGCAAATCATTGACAAATTGCCACATAATTCTCAAGATTGTCGCCATGCTTCCCAATATTGAACATACATTGAGAATATATTACAAATCTATGGTGTTGGTGATATTGCTTATTTATGCGATGAATCAACGAGGAATGATTATTGCTTACACAAGCTCTGCTACAAATGTCCCATCTTTTTCTCGTTTCCCATAAACAAAATTGCTCACAGTTATTTTCGTTATGCTTCATAATTTATTTTCATTGTCCATAAATGCTTAATCGATTATTGTGTTTTTTTTTTATTGGTAAGCGTGATGAAAGTACTCGATTATTATTGTTTTTATTCAGATTATTGCTGGTTATTACGTTGTAATATTTGCTTTTCTATCAATCACAAAATATTTGATGCTTTGATAAAGAAGAAATTGTTTTTTTAAGGTTAGGTATTTTAAGTGTAGACAAACCTGTTAATTTATTGATCAACATATTGAGTTATTTATCTGTTAAAGCTAAGGAATGGTTTAAAGAAGTTGTGGAAACTATTTTAAGGTTGTCTCCTGTCATTTGCTTGTCAACAGGCCTGGTTTTGCCGATATTCTTCCAGTTGTCCCAACGACAAGCTATAGCTTTGACCAAATGCTTATCAATAGTCATCTGCCATCTAAATCATATCAAAAATTGAACAATACAATTGAATGCAGCACCATTTTGTCTACAAGCAACCTCAAACACAACAAACTTTCAACTCCAACTAATTAATTCCCTCCACATATTCGCACAAAATTCAATATAAAACCCAAGAAATGACTAACCATAATAAGAACAACAATAACACTATCAATGTCGAGGGGAGTAAAGACTACAACATCCGGAAGAAGAAAGTAATTTTATTAGACGAGAAAGGCAGGAGAAGCTCTTAGCAATGTCTGAATCATATCC